AGAAAATGGCAATATTGTACTTTGTACTTCTCACACAGGCAAAGCAATGGTGCAACGAACCCTCTGAGCTCAGGAAATGTTAAGTGTGAGCTTTACACCTCACTTAAGAGGCAGACAGCTGCTGCCCAACAACACAGCTATGAATTCAAGCATACGGTTAAATGCATTCCTGAATTAGTGCCACAGTTGTTCTGGAAGATACTCAAACTCATTACATTATTTGGGCTGGAAATTTTCAGCCTCATTAAAACCTTAATTGCTTGAATGTTGCCATGAAAAGAGAAAAATCTGATGGAGAGTGTTCCCAAAAGACAATCCACATGCTGTTAAATGTTTGTTTAAGTTATTTTAATTGAATGGAAAATAATATAAAATTAAAATTCATAAATGAAGGAATACATTGGGATAAAAAAAGACTAAATATTCTAACAAAATTCACTTTTCTATCTGCAGTTCTTTTCTGTTTCTTGAAAGGAAAAGAAGAAACTCTCAAGTTCTTAATTCTTCTCTTGTTATTTTAGTGACTTGCTAAATGTCAGTACTGTAAGTCACACTGCCTTTTTGATAGTTCATTAATAACGCAAAATTAACCTATATCATAAATTAGTGTTTGGTAACTAGGATGGCAACTGTCATTATGAAATGCAATCAAAATAAATGCTGTAAAGTTGGAAAATTTAATTCATAGTTATAAATGAGTCATGAGTGATTAAAATCAGCTTCTCTGAGAGTTTGTATCATCACTTTGGAGTTTGCTTCTGGTAAATTGGAAGAAAAAGAAGACAATGTCCTGCAGTAATTTTATTTCTTCAAAATGTATTTTCTTCAAATTTGAAGAAAATGGGAGTGTACAAGGACCTCCCTTTTGCTGCAGAGATCTCCCAGCTGCATAGGAAGTAGCCAGGCCCACTGAGGGTCAGAGCAACCCAGATCTCTGCACAGCTCCTCTCCTGAGAGAAATCTGGTGTCTGGTTGCACACTGGGAAAAATCTATGGGCTCTGTAGTACCCAACCATCCTGAAGCTCAGAATTCTGCATTTTATCTAGAATGATTAACTTTCTTTGAGTAGCTGAAGATAAAGCCCCTTCTGCTAGAGGCCTTGCCTGGAGGTGAAAGCCAAAGTGTTTAATAGATCAAAGTCTGCTTTGTCAGACTGAGCATATGACTTTGAAGCTTCTATTGAGGACTAATGATTGATAATTATGGGAGTGAAGGTGTTTTGTGATATTCCTATTACTTCTTAAGCAGTTATTGCTGCTTGAGTCCTTGGAGGTGGAGGCATAAAGCCAAATCAACATCACAGATAGTACTGGTAAGATCTGTCACCCACTCAGAAAGTCTTTCAGCTGGGAAACAGAACGTTTTATATCCTCACATGATTTCATGGATCTTTCCAGGCACAATTCCTCCTATTTCCAGAACCCAGACTATAGGAATCCATTGTGTGGGAGAGGCTTATGCTTTCTGGTTCTGTGTCTAATAGTGGGTTATAAAATATGACAGAAAGTCTTAAGGAGCCATTAAGTTTTTCCTCTCTGAAAAAAGAACCATGCCCTCTTTGTGCCCAAAGGGCATTTGTCAGTTTCTTTCACAAAACAAGTACAATCTTGGGGAAAAAATAATCAAGAAGTCAATAAAGTAAATCAACACACAGCCTTCAAAATTAATTTGGGACAGAGCTTCACTGTAAGCCTGACTGCATGAAAAATAGTACATGGAAGGGCCTGGCAACATGCTGGAATTTCACTGATCTTTGAAAGAATACAGAAACACCCACAACTTTTTTTTTTTTTTCAAAATGAGGAAGCCATAGAAATGCTATGAGCACATATGGTGACAAGTTTTCTGAAATTCCACTATCTTGGCTTACACTGAGAAATTTGTGAAAGAAACTGTTAAAAAGCCATTGACAGAAAAGTTTGGGTTTGCTTCTTGGTGGCTAATTAGAATATGTAGTGTTGCCCTGACTTCACAGGGATCCTTCTGGGAAGATGAAATGATAAGTGCACCTGATATATCATCCAGAGTATTTATTTATGTAAGTTCAAGTGTGTAACTATTGACAAGCAGGGGATCCAACACTTATCCAGATTAGTCCAGGTCATCCCTCTCACCGTGTACACATTGGTCTGAATATTTACAGGTAGGTAGGTAACAGATAAGCAATTGGCGCTTGACATTTGTGTCGGAGTCTACTCACAAAGATTAAATATGTGTCTATTTTGGCAGAGTTACTCATTTCTTCCACATCTAAAATGGCATGACCCAATATCTCCTTGACGTTATCAGGAAATACTCAAAGTCATGTGCATGAGTACTGAAGCCTCCACCCGGGTGATGGAGGAGGATGTAGCAGTTTGGGCATTGCTGCTGTTGGGTTCAGAAATGCTGTAATGACTTTTTTCCTAAAATAACTGAGTTTGACTTTAGTTGCCATGAAGAAAGTAACTGGATAACACACCTTTAAATTATAGAGGCTATGTGCCAATTTCTTCTGCATTAGCCAAATTCACAAAGCAACTGTTACATACGAAGACTTGGCCTCCCAAGATGTATTTCTAATGGTGGCATTGATTTTATGAATATTCTGGAAGCATGTTGAGGGAAAAGATATGGGTCAAGATTAGGCAGAGAAAAAAACTATGAAACATATTATCCCTAAAAGATTTGTAACAAACAAATATTTTCCACAAATCAGCTGATATTTCTTAGAAATATGGAAGGAAGGCCTAGAAGTGATTGGACATGGAAGGGAAGGAAAAAATAATTTGAATCATCAAGAGTCCAAGAGCATGGGAAGAAGAGCATGAAGTAGAAGAGCAAGAAGAGGAAGAGAAAGAAGTATGAAGAGCACGAAGAGCAAGAAGTAGGTTCTCCTCTACCTCTTCTGAGACTAAAATACTTTCCTGAATTGTTCAGCTGATCTTGTGTCAAACATCTTGAGGTTTCATTTTGTGGCAGTCTAATCTTATGTTCAGGGAAAATGACATAGTTATTTAGAATTTTTTTAGATTTATTGTACACAGACATTCTTCTTATCATCCTTTCTGCCATAGTAAACACTTAGTTTAGTAGAACCTGGAATTATCTGCTACCACGAACCAGTCATAAACTGCCTTTCTAGAAAAATTATTTTAAATGCATCCTAAAAGCAGGGACTTCTTATAATATAGGGGGTGCTGGACAGGACAAATGTAGATCGAGCCAATATGGTTAAAGCTACATTCTCCATTTATTGTCTAAAAGATGGCAGTTTATATACAATTCTACATAGTTTACAAGTTGTGAACATGCTATCATTGGTCAGCAAACATTATTTACCTTTGCCTTAAGGTGGTCAGGCTTTTCACACTGCAGCTCTACCCTAATTCACATTCAGAAATCTCATTACTTGGTGGTTACCTTAACATAATTTCTAACTGCGCCACAACTAATTTCTTACTGCATCAAAGGCCTCCAGGCCTCACCAAGGCTGCTTATCAGGGGCCTAGTCTGAGAGGTAGCTCAGTTCTTACTCTAAATATAAATCATGTCCTGTCTCTCTCAGAAATCCTCCTACAATTCCCTGTTTTTCTTTTTGAGCTACCCAGATCGACTTGAAGGCATGGTTAGTAATTTTCTGCATGCAGTGTAATAAACAAGGTATAGAGACTAAGATAATTACAGTAATAAGAAAAAATACAATACCAAAATGAACTAAATCTTTGACTCAACTAGTGAAACCTAAAGAATTGAGCCAATTAGCAAACTGAAGGTCTACAGCAACAAGTTTCTTCATGTTGTCTTTCAGTTGTGTTAACTGTTAGTGAATTGATTGAGAGTGGTTAGATAAATTCCTTCAACGCATGCCTTCAAATTTTTCACACCCATGTCTTAGTGCTAAAAGAAGGAAGTCAATGGTAGCTCTGTTCTGAAGAACTGCATGACGGGTGCTATCTATATCAAGCTCACTTAACATTTTAGATGTAATATTAATTTGCTTTTTTTTTTTGTCCAGCAGGCCAGGGTTTTCAATTGTGTGAGAGCTTGCGCTGAAGCAACTCATGAGGAGAAAATTGAGTCTAGTATTACAGATGTGCACCCTCATAATGATACTTGATCTTTACAATTGGGGTCTAATTGGAGAGCACTCTGTTTGGCTCGTTGAGTCTTTGGAGGCAATCGAAGAACCTGATGATTGTTGGGAACAAAGAATATTGATTTATCAACGTAACATGGGCCTCCCATGGCTTTTTGAGGCACTGCAGACCAGGCTTGATCCCCACAAATGAGGAAAATTCCTGGTGGTGGTTTTCTTGGGGCAGTTTTTGGTGGTATCACGGATTGTGTCCATTACAATATTCTGAATAATTATAATACAATGGAGATCTGGGAGACAACCAAGTATTGTCATCTGTTGGCTGTCTTTCTTTTTGGATTAATTTTATAGCATGAGGTCCGGATATATAACAACAATTTCCTGGGACGGAACCCAACAGATCGAATTCTTGAGGTTTGACATCAGCAATTTTAAGATTTTGCATGATTGTGACAGCCTGTGCTCCCAGAATACTTTTTGGATTTATTCTGCTTAGAGTCTAAACTTTGAACTCTGCCATGGAACTCAGTGGAACTCCAATCAAACAAGTATGAAAAGAATTGGATGGTGTATGTAACAACAGGCAAAGTTAATCTTGCCCCATTTGCTTGGCCCAAATGATCCACTTGTTTTGTCTCTTGTCAAGCATTCCAAATACTTTAGTTACTAAAACACTACTTAATAGAAACACTCTGCCCCACCACATATTTCTCATGTTCTTGATTGCCCTGTTTGACACGAAAGGAACAAACTTAATTTTAAATACAAAGTATAACTTACGATAAACTTATTGTTATATTTATGATTATCTAATTTATTTTCCCTCTTTTTTTTTTTTTTTGCCATTGAAAAACAATGGCAAAATGAACAGAAGAATCACAGGCCTTACTAAAATAAATCAAAACTTAGTTCTATAACATCACTAAAAACACACATTTATAAAAAAACCCCGAAGTCCATGATCTTCTGTGGGTGAAACACAAATCTTTGCACAATCTACATCTTTTATGCATCTTATGCCTTGCTTGTGGATAGATCAGTTCTTTCTTGCAGTTGATAAGTTCTACATTCTTCATTGAGATCCATCCAGGTTCTGCACCTGTTAAAACACAAACAAATCCAACATCCCCACAGGGACTGGAGGGTTCTCTCTCAATTCTGTTCCTAAAATTGCATGAAGAAATGGAGATATCAACATCTTTGTTATAAACATGAAAAAACATCAAGAACAGAACAATACATGTAGTAAAAAAATTAACAACAAATAAAAATCAATCAGATAATACACAATTAATAATACATATAAAATCACAGTTACCAAGTGCTACAATATCAAATTGCCATCCCAGAGTCTACAGCAGCTGACAAACCTGAAAACAACAGAGATTTGGAGAAAACATGTCCGGATCATGTTCTTCCAAAACTCCCTTTGAGGCTCAGCTGTCCTATATTGTCAAATTGTCAAGTCAAAAGGACTTGAATAGTTTTTGATGCAGAAAACACCTGGGTCAATCACTCTATCCCAGTAGAGCCAGGGCTTAGCCAGAGCCCGAACGCTAATTGGAGGATCTCCTTTAACACCTTATGAAACATAAGTCTTAGAAATAACAGTTATGAGTAAAAAACCTTATGAATTAAAATGTATGAAACCATCAAATAATTGAATCTGTCTAAAATTTCTTTCAAGACAGAGATTCACTAAACTCAACAAATTGTATCTTCAGAAATCTGAAAATTTGAAAACTGAAATCTTGAACCAAAATCTGGACAATGAAAGAGTGAAGGGAGATGAATTGCAGCTGCATAAAATATTGGACAAAGAAAACACATGAGTAGTTAAAAAATCAAAAACACAGGATCCTGAAGAAAAATGTCTTGTAAACAATCACCCAAAGAGACAATAAAACATATGAAAACTGACTGTAAATACCATAACACCTTAATACCTTAATAATAATTTTTAGTACAAAAATCTGACAACTCACATTATATGATCAACTTTTCAATGAGAAATATTTAAAATAGTTTAAGACAATCTTTTTAAAGCATTCATATAACATTAATAACAATCACTATTTATCTTATTATCTATAAAACCTAAAAACAAGGATTACAAACTCAATACGAACAATCCATCTGACTTACATTTCTCAAATGCTTTGTTTTCAGTGACATTTTTGGTAGGTAAATCATTACTAATACTTCTATCTTTATACAGTGATTTTCATCAATATCATATTTGAAATAACATTGATTTGCATAATGTTTATCCTTCTTTGCATCTTGGACAATGACTCGGTATTGCTGTGTGTTCCGTTACATTTTCTGACTCTTGTAAAAAATTGGAAAAATGCTGTTGAAATTTTTGCTGTAGTGTTGCAATCCCTCCATCAGTGGTGCTGCTGCCCTCAGCGTTGTCATTGCCATGGTAACCACAGTGCTGTGCAGATGTCTCCACCACCATTGCAGGGTGCTGCAGGGGGCCCCCCCAGTGCGGGCGCACCCCCACCACCGCCACTGCTGGTTTTGCAGGGAGATGAGGGGGTGGCGCCGTCTCTCTCCCGTCCTTGCTGCGCCACCATGGGGGTGTGAGAAGAGACGCCCCCGCCGTGGCCACACCCCGCCTGCTCTGACTCCAGCGTGGCTGAGCCCCCCGGGAACACCCCTCTCCCCCCTTGCGTTGTTGCTTGGCAACAAGGAGTCTTCTGTCTCTCTGCCGACGTCCAACCCGCCCCAGGCCCGCCTCAGGCTCGGTGCCAGCTGGCCCTGTGCCAACTGGCTCCGTGCCCGCCGCTCCTGCGGTCCACCCATGCAGCTGGCCGGTGCTCGCCACCACAGCCCACTGCCATAGTGTTTGCCACTCCGTCTCACTAGGGATGAGGGTTTATCTTTTGCCCACAGAGTCAATTGCTCTAAAATTGGACTCTTTTTATCTTTTTCCCTCTCTCGGAGAGGATATGTGAAAGGAGCCGCAGTGCTCTTCCTCGGATGCTCTCTATATGTCTGTATATCCTTTCTCTCTCTTTGCATGTGGCTTACCTTTCCACCTGTGCGAGGTGCTTCCAGCTTTTTCTTGAGCTAGCAGAGACACTAGCTCCAGCACCCCTGCTCCATTTTGTTCACTCGCACTGCGTGGTCAATGAGTGAACCCGTGGAGTCTTCGGCATTTACTCCTGTGTTTCCCGATGCAAAACAAGCGTTTTGGAAACCGTCTCCCATTGTGGCCAGCACGATTTGGAGTCTGGAGTCTTTGATTGCTCCGGCACCTTGATCCCTGTCACTATAACAGCGATTTGGGATCAGAATCTTCCTGTCGCTTGTCTTCCTTTCATGCAATTTGGAGATGCTCCTCGTTGCCCCTAAGGCAATATGGGAGCCTCCGGAGCATTCTGGGTCCCTGTTCGGGCGCCAGAAGAGGTGGGGACTTCTTATAATATGAAGGGGTGCTGGACAGGACCAACACAGATTGAGCCAATATGATTAAAGCTACATTCTCCGTTTATTGTCTAAAAGATGGCAGTTTATATACACTTCTACATAGTTTACAAGTTGTGAACATGCTATCATTGGTCAGCAAACATTGTTTACCTTTGCCTTAAGGTGGTCAGGCTTTTCACACTGTAGCTCTACCCAAATTCACATTCAGAAATCTCATTACTTGGTTACCTTAACATAATTTCTAACTTCGCCACAACGAGTTTCTTACTGCATCAAAGGCTTCTAGGCCCCACCAAAGCCGCTTATCAGGGGCCTAGTCTGAGGGGTAGCTCAGTTCTTACTCTAAATATAAATCACGTCCTGTCTCTCTCAGAAATAACACATCCTTACATTTTTCTGGCAGCCTATCCACAAATGAAATCTGGATGGCCAATGCTCAGTTGAAGGTGCATGAATAATGCTTTTTCACCCAAAAACATGTAATCAGTTTTCTTTGTCCTTTAAAATGAAACCTGAGCTTCTGAACTTTAATCTGACTTCGTTAACAGTTAAAAGCCTGTACTAAAAATACTTCCAAGTCACATTTTAGAACTTGAGTTCCACACTACTTGCTTCACTCTGAGAGACAGAAAAAGTGCTCAGTCAATTAAAAATTCCTCTGTTCATAGATGTAGAGACCTTAATATGCAGTACTAGGTGTAATATGTGAAATGGATTCCATTACAGCTCCCGGATGACTCTGAGAATGTTTCAGCGGTCTTTGCCATTTTGAAGAGCTCTTGAACTAAGTGAAAACTGTGTCAGGAACTGACACTACTTAACCTGATTCTGTGGAAGAACACTTTCCTTAGGATGTAGCAGGAAGGAACCTTATGGTTGTGCTACTGATCTCTCTCTTCTGGCCTGGATCAAACTGGAAGAAAATTTGAAATAATACAGGAAAATTATCTAGTGCTAAAGGTACTTTGATACATAACATAGTTCTAGTGTAAATGAATATAATATAGTGAGATAAGTGCATTTGTCAGATAGCTGTCCTTTGTGTGCATGAAGAGGGGAAGTGGTATTTATACTTTGTGATTTTATTCTGCATGGAAAGAGTAAAGAGGTACAAAAACAAAAGCACTACTAATTTCATCATGGTACAGAAAGGGTGAAATTTTTAGCTGTCTCTGCACTGATGACTCACTAACCTTCCTCACACTTACGCCATGGTGACAAGGTTTTCTGGGTCCTCACAACAGAGGTGCTCTTATGCAGACAGCAAGGATAGGTTTCAAAGGCTTTTAAACACAGAAGACCTAGATACTTTTTAAGAAGAAATGTATTCTTCTTGACACCTGTGAGACTGTAGACATTAGCCCTTGAAAAAGTAGTGTTTAAAGTGAAACCCTGAAAGAAGTGGAAAGTTTTTCTTTATGTCTAACTTCTGAGTCTGACACCTCCTTTAGACTTCACTTGCACAAAAATAGAGCTTTATTGGTTTTTTTGTGTGTTTTGAAAGCAGATCACAAATTCATGGAGTTATAGGAGATAATTCATCCTAGAAGAATAAAGGGACTGAATGTATCCATCAGCTGTTCTAATATAGATGGTTAAAGCCTGTAGTCTGTATTCAGCCACGGCTGTTGCTGATGGTTCCAATAGTGATGGTGGCACTGATGGTTCCACTTGTCTCAGCAAATGCTAAATTCCTTGTCTTTGTTCAATGGATTGAAACAATCAGCACTAGCAAAGAAGGAGGAAATTAATTATATTAATCAAAGGCAGGAAAGAAAGATATAACAATTCTCAAACTGTAGTGTACGTTAGGATATTGGAATTGTTTCAGTGCTGTGTTCAGGTATCAGAAAGGAATAGTTATGGCTAAGTTCACCCCATTCTTCAGGTTCTTGAAAGAAACAGTTTGCTGGCATCCATGATATAAATATGACATTTGATTAATGTTACTTGAGTGATCTATTGAATGGATACTTGAAGAAGAACAAGGGAATATGGTATGTTCATCACAAATACAGACTGAGTAGGCATGTCATTGTCATGAAAATGCATTGGAGTCCCATTGTTCTGTTCCAATAATGCTGAAGCTCACTTCTAAGCTGATTTCTATAATCATCCACCTATTCTACCACATAACTGGAATAGATGCCACTTCAGTTCCTTAACTTCCTACAGATTAGTCTGTGTTGGTTTTGTGTGTGGTTTATGGTTTTTTTTAGAAGTACAAAGATTTAATCATACCACTTCTTTTTTGAGATGTCTAATAATGATCTACAAGGCAGAAAGCTGAGGGGGTGGAGGGAAGTGATCAGTGTTTGCATCCTGTGGCATTCGTCTTCAATTATACTGTTGAAATCTGGAATCTGTGATGTTTTAAAGCAAACCCATTGGTGGCCATCTTTCAGCTACCCCTTGGTTTAGTTTTTAGTTTCTCTTTCCCATAAAACTCACTCAGTATATGAGAATTATGTACTTACTCTAAGCTAAAACATTATGAGACAAAATTGTTGTGCCTTCATAAATGTGATGAGAGAAGATGAATATCTCCCCAGCAACAGTGAAGACTTGAATTTCCTTAACTTCTCCATTATTTTCATAGGGTGATGTATTTATAGAATCAGCAATCGTCAACAATTTCCATTTTTCTAAGTAGAATAAAATATTAAGATCAGGTAATGTAGAAAAGGATCAAAACAAAAGTTACATGAGAACGTAACCAAAAGTAAAATAGATTAGTAGAGAATAATATAAGATCATGTCACACTTACAAGATATACTTTTAAATTACTCATACCTATAGAATTGTAACTGCTAATTTAATTTATAGTGATGTACTATCCTTACTACAATAACTCTTCATATGTTTTTGGTTATTCATGTCATGCCATGTAGGATACACTGATCATACTTAGATTGCTATAGCGGATTATAAAAGAGGGAGGAACTGTATTTTAAAGCTGAAAAACAGTTTGGTTTTTCCTCAAAACCTGTTCTTTAGCTTTTAGTCATCTAGTAGCTTATTTATAGTCAGCATTAGCCTCTCAAGACAGCACTGGTCCTACACCCATCCCTTCACATTACTGTACAAAGACAGTAGTGAACTAAATTTCTTCTTGGTTTTTTGTTTGGGTTTTGTGGTTTGGCTTTTTAAAGGAATTTCAGCTGTAGGCTTACTGGTTTGGCTGCCTGCAGACACACCAAGAATACGGGTGAAGGTACGTGGTTTCTTGGCTGTACTGAGAACTTTAGACAGATTGGTTTAAGAGGAAGTACTTTAGAGATATCTGATGAGAAATTGCTCTGTGCTTAACAAATCCCTCTGGACAAGAGAATGAAAATAAAGAAATGAGATTTCAGGTGATAACTTTTGGAAAAAAAAAGAGCCAGAAGATTGGAACTGGGATGTGGTCAGAAGTTTTTGAATAAAATATCCATATCTTCCTTGAGTTTCTGCCACTGGAGTTATGTTTCAGATGTGTGCTGTGCACAGGGAGTATATCTCCTGTATGTAAGAACGTGTTACTGTCTTCTGCATTCCTGCTGCTGTTCATTCAGTCTGCTATGTGCTAACCAGGTGCTGGCATTCAGGTACTCTTATCACTATTTTGATGAACTATCTGAGATCAAGCATTGTATTTGAATTACAGTAACAAGAATCTAGGAATTAAATTCAAAATGAATGTATTTTGATAACGTTTGTGGCTTTGGAGTTAATTTTTTTTTACAAATAAACACATGAAACTTCTTTATTGCAATATGTAAAACCCTCAACAGACAGAGGAGTAGAGGAATTCAGTACATGATTTTGGGCTTCAGCATATGATTTTCAGGGACTTTGACCTGTCCTACATATTGTGTAGCTACAGACATGGCATTTAATTTGCCCGTGCCTTAACTTCCCACCTGTGACATGGGAATGGGAGCACCTCTATCTCTCTTCAAACTGCTGTGATGAGAAATCAATATTGGGGACTACTTAGATGCCATAATAATGGATACAAATTAAACACATTACATATAAGATGATGGAGTGGTCGTGATTACTGTGAATTACTACGAACAGATTCAGCGCAACTGCATTGGTGGTCTTGGAAAAAAAGGAATGGGTCTGCGCACGTGTGAGAGAGCGAAGCCCCCGTGTGTCAGCGTGCCAAGGCACACAGTAACCGAGGTCAGTCCGCCTCCTCTGCCGGAGGAAGGGCTGCGGGCTGTCCGGGGCCATCCCCGCGGGGTCCCCTCGCCGTGCCCGCCCCGAGGGCGCCCCCGGCCCGGCGCTCCGGGCCGCTCCGCCGCGCCCCCTGGCGGCACCGGCCCCGCCCGCGCCGCCCGTGCCCCGCCGGCCTCGCGCGTTCGCCGCCCGCGGCTTTTGTGGCGGCGGCCCCGGGATCGCCCCGCGCCGGGCCCGGAGCTCGGCCCGCCCGTGCTGTCCCCAGCCCCGCTGCGGCTGCTCGGGGCGCGGGGACCCGCACACCACTAACGCGGAAGGAGGAGATTCCCCGCACAGCCCGCGGAACGGGACGGAAAGGCGCGGGAGTTTCCGTGAAAGGCCGAGGGGAAGGCACCGGGGAGGTTCCTCGTTCACTAACGCGTAGGGGGGAGATCCCCGGACAGCCTGCGGGACGGGACGGAGCGGGAGCTTCCGTGCAGGGTCCAGGAGGGAAGAAACCGGGGAGGCGCGGGAGAGAAATCGCTCGGGACTGCACCCTGGGCACGTCCCACCCGGGACACTTCCCGGCCCCGCACGCTTTGGGGTGGCGGCGGCGCCGGTGCCGCGTTTCCCCCGCGGGCTCCGCCGCGTCCCCTCGCTGGGGCCGTCGGGCTCCCCGCGCCCGGGGCGGGCACGCGCGGCTCCCGCTGGCGATGACGTCACGGCCCGCTCCCGGCTCGCCGCTCCAGCCGGCGGGCGCATCCCGCGGGTGCGGAGCGGTGCCGAGCGGAGCTCCGCGCCACGGGCGGCAGCGGCGTCGCGCTGTGGAGGCCGGCAGGCGCCGCCTCCTCCCTCCCTCCCTCCGTCCCTCGTTCCCGCCCGCGCCGCTCTGTCCCATGTTCGGGCTGGGGAAGCCGGCGGGGCAGCAGGAGCCGGGCAGAAGCGGTGGGCTTCCGAAGATGGCGTCCGTGGGGGATTTTAACGTTCTCAGCTCCAGCATCCCGGCCACCAAGGTGGAGCTCTCCGTATCCTGCAGGTACGGAGGCGGCTCGCGGCCGCGCCGCCCGCTCGCCCCGCGGCGTCGGAGGGGGCGGACGGGCGGGCGCCCCTCGTCCCGGGCTTGTCAGCGGAGCGGGCAGGAGAAGGCGGCGCGGGACGCGCTCCGCACTCCCGGCGCTGTGCGAGGCGCTCTCGCTCCTGCCCCCGGAGCGTGCGGAGCGCGGGCAGCTGCCAGCGCGTCCTCGGGCAGAGCCGGGCGCAGCCCGGGGCCGGCTGCCGGCCCGCTGCAGCGCGCTGGCCGCGCACCGGGCGTGTCCGCCGCAGCTGCTGCCGGCGGGCCCGGGGCTGAGCGCCGGCTCCCGCGGCGGCTCCGGGCTCTGCCGAGACGGGCAGCGGCTGCCGCCGCCCCGCATCCTGCCCGCGCCGCCGCCGGCAGCGGGAGTCGCGTCGGTGAGCGCGCGGGGCGCGTTATCCGGCAGGTATTGGACTTCTGGAGCTGTCCCAAGTGCCGTGGTGGGGACGGAGACCGGAGTAATCCTGTCCTGGCTTCTTCAAGGCTCTCTTGCAAAACTTAGGAGTACGGGCATGTTGTGTCGCTCCGGCATGTCTTGTCGTGACGCTGCTGCCGAGAAACTGAGAGAATGCCAACCCGTAACACCAAATGCAGTGTCTGTGGGTTTGTTCCTTTGACACTTGTTTATCGGTGTTTCAAAAATCCTATTTTCGCCCGTGATGCAGAGATTTTCTTGTTAGAGGTCTAAAAAATAGTTTTATTTGTGCGCTGTTTTTATTCACGTCTTCGTTCACATTCCGCGACTTCCTTAAGTATTTCCTAGTAATTGCAAAGTGGTGACGCCTTTCACCAGCAGAGTTGGCAGCTTCTAGCGGAAAATTTGAACTGTCCGTGTATTTCCTGACGGGAAATGAGACAGAGTGTCTTCATTGATGCGTTTCATCATTTTATAATGTAGCTCCTCATTTTATAATGTTGCTATTTACCGGTACTACTACCACGATAGAAGGGCAGTTCTCTAAACTTAAATTGTCAGACCACTCCCTCTCTTTCCTTAGCAAAAGTATCATTTGATGTTTTATCAAGTGTGGATTTCAAAAGAGGGCTGAAGCAGTGAGAAAATAGAGTAAGATTAAACTTTTAATACTGAAAAAGTCACCAGGCTGATGTATTAACACCCCGTTGTACTTGCTGTCTCTGCAAGGTTCACAAGTGCTAATTGTTGTCCAAAGAAGGGTGTGCTGTAATGTGTAAAAGCAATCCAGGACCTTTACTTTTAAGTTTTTCAGATAGCCTGTCACAGTTACAGGTGTCAGAGCATTTATGTTGAATTTGACCCAATTCACTTAGTATGGGAGTTCCTTTAACTCCAGGTATCATTTGTGTAAACCTGCCATGTTTCACAATAATCCATCAGATAGTTACATAGAAATGCAGGTATAGAACATAGTCAGTCGATTCTGACCATTACCATTCTGACTATTACTTGTAGCTAATTTCAGTATATAGTTTACAGCAGCAGTTTTTCTGCGGATGGTGTTAAAAGCCATGTCAGTTTTGTTAAAACTTTTTTCAATTGTCTTGATGTCAAGTGCAGAAGGATGTGAATTGCCGTGGAGATTCCTTTCTTCTGTTTGTGCTGAATGACATTTTTTGATTACAAAATTATGCTTCAGAGCGGAGTATAAAGTGAGCGACACTAGGGCAGAGATTAATGGTTAACACATTTGTGATTCATCTGTAAACACATTCATTGGCTAAATCTTGTGAAATGTGATGTTAAATGAAGTTGTGAAAGACTGCAAGAGCAAACTGCAAAATTCAGAGAATGCTGGAAATTCTTTAATAATTAGCAGTTGTGTATTCATTAATACCTGGAGAGAAATGTTTTTAATAACAGTTTGGGTCATTATGGTTTTTTTCCTTGGTACTTGAAGGGTTGTAGGACCAATTCAGTCACTAATTGACATCAACAATTGTAAGTTGATAAGTATAATTTATTCCTAGATTTTTTTTTCTTGAGTTTTTCTTTTTGTTTGGCTTTGGATTTTTTTGTTGATGAGGTGATGTTTTGTGGGGTTTTTTGGGGGGGGTTGTTTGGTTTTTTTTTTTGTTTTCCTTGTAGGATATCAGGGAAGTTCTTCCAGTTTGTACAGGTGATGTAACTTGTGGTCAGTGAAACAGTGCAAACTGTTTGTGCCATAAAGTCAATTTGTGACTCTTCTTTTCTTTGTTCTGTCTTTCTGTCTGTCTTACTCAGTAAGGATACAGTTTATATTCCTTTAACTCTCAGTTCCATGTGGTTTCTTTGTCAGTATTTCCCAATTTGCCTGCATCCTCATACTGCCAGTGTTGCCAGAGTATCCAGATTCAGCGCTGTGCAGATGGCATTGCACTACTTGATATTCTCCAAGCCACCCTGGTTTAGCTTCAGGGTCACATCAAGTAGCCTTTAGGAGAAATGCATCTCATGGGATGAGAAATTCTGTGACAACTGTAAAATCCAGAAATGTTTTGGTTGTCAGGCAATGCTCTTTCTGGAACTTCCTTATGACTAAAAGTTTTTTATATCATTCCCATGACTTTTGAATGCCAGCATTAGCTGTAATATTAAAAATGCCAGAAAAGCAAGAAATTAATTTAATTCTAGCTATTACTGCTCAGTGCCTATCAAATAAAAATGTCACAGTTCTTTCTCTAAGATGTAGTTTATCAGGAAGCAGAAGTCTTTGACTCAAGAGCCAGCTCTACTTTGGCAGAAGAACTTACATATGTATCCCAGAGGATCCTCTGGTGTTGGTAATTGTCCACTACTGTCTGGATCAATTGTTTTAGTCTCCCTCTGCACCCTGTCTCTCCCTTCATCACATGTGCTGAAGGCATTTAGGGTCTGATGAAAATGTTACTGTCACCTGCCATGCAATCTTTATTTGTTGCTGCCTGGCATAATTTTGCACAATTGTCATGTGGTGAAGGACCAAGACCTTGTCCGTGCAGTCTGTATGGAAGAGTAGAAATAGGCTGCACTCTATCCTTTTACTCACTGTGTTTTCCAGCCCAAAGATTCCTCTTCTCTACAGGGGTGTTTGCACTGCATGCTGTTTGTAGGTCTGTGTCTAGACAAGACTCTTCTCTTACCAGCTGTGTGTGTAAGCTTATGTGAGCTTCAGGTAAGCTTCAGGCCATATGCTTGTCATCCTGTTTTCCCTCTGTTGATGTTTTCCACTGATTCCGATCTAGTTAAGTCTTGGAAAAACTTCATATTCTGTTCCCATTTTCCCTCTGTTAGTACTGTTACTGCGTATTGACCAAAGTAGTTTATCTGATGCTGAGAACTGCAAGATTGTGGTTATTACATACCTTGAAGTCTGTGCTCTGAGTGAGCACACAAAATTCAATGTAGTTTAATGGGTTTAAGTTTTTAATTTTTTTGTTGTGAACTGTATAATGATCGATACCTAAGTTTTAGTGTCAATAGTGTAATGCAAGTTAAGATTGCGAAGCATTTAAGTGTCAAAGCTGATTCTTTCTAGTATGCTGGCAATAAATTAATACAAATCTTCGGACTTTTTCACAATCTGACTGGGCTTATTCTTGCACACATAGGAAGAAGGAGAGACCTTGGATGTAACAGCAGTGATTAATGCTTGCACTCTGACAGAAGCTCGATATTTGCTTGATCACTTCCTTATGATGGGTATCAATAAGGTAATGTGTAAGTGAAGTATATGTGTGCCAGGACTATGGCATGTGCCAGGAGCAGATATGTTGTGCTGACATAAAGACATGACTAATGTGTGTTAAACAAAGCTAAGCTGGTCAACATTACTGAGTCATGCTGATTCTCAGTGTGAAGGCCCTTGAGATCTGTTGTCCTCTTCAACTTACTGCCAACCCCCAGTAGAGCCTTCTTCACTGTATTAATTAGCTCATGTTGTTCTTACAAGAGCACTGACTTTTTGTAATCAAATAAATGTCTATGCTTTTTTACAAACTCCTAAAGAGAGCTTGAGATCTTTTTTCAAAAGACTGGCTCAGCCACCTTTGTACAAATATGAACCTCAAAAAATTTAAGTTACATGTTGATGCATGACATACTTCAGTCTGAGCAGAGCCACAGGGATTCTTCTGAAGATGTTGGGGAAATATGTTTAGTCTGTTATTTTCAAAATAAGCATTTGGCAGCTTATAACCCTGTGCACACATGTATCATGAGGTCTTGCTGCTGCTTTTCTTTCTGTCTCATTGAGTCAAATGAAAGATTTCAATGATACTGAAACTGTCTTTGGGTCAGCCCCCCCAACCAGTTCTCTGGGATTTATTTTGCATTCTTGATTCATCACTATGCAGGTAATCCAAAAAGTTTGTGGGAAAAAAAAAAAAGGGTAAAGAAAATTCCCACAATCACATTGGCTTCTGGAAATTTAAATATTTTTCATATTTTTCAGCCTTTGGATGTGTTTGAATGGATCTTGCAACAGAGTTAATGTGAGAAAAGTGCCTCTGACTCACTCTGTTAACAATTTCTCTTTATTATGATAAAAAGCTCCATTATGTGAAGTATTCTATAATCTTTTTGTTTAGTAATTATCAAGTAGAAAAGCTGAAGGGATACTTTTTTTGCAAAATTGGTCATGTCTACTGTCTATTCTATTGTTTGTCTTCACCTGCAGAATGTGTCTGTTGATACGTAGCTTTAGTTCCATCAAAATGTAGTGTGTCCATTTATTGGGCGATACTTGTTGCTCAAGCACTAACACTCAAAGTCTGCTGTTGCCCTAGAAGCCTTTGAGGAGATATTTTGTACCTTAATTTTTCCATACTGTTTCTTTTGGAATTTGGAAATCACTTTAGAAACTGTTCCATAAATTTCATTGTCTGTATTTTCTACAACTAAAAAAAATTCTCACAACTCCTTGGCTCTTCCAATTGATACAGAAGTTCTCTTAGAATGAATTCTGTCGTAAGTTAGACGATAAGATAATGCTTTTTCTCTTCAAGCCAGGTCTTACAAGCTCTCAGAGAAAAGCATTATACCCTTGATAGCTCAGCTACCTCAGGTGGCATAAAAGGAGCAGGATGGCTCCTGTGACAGTGTTGGAAACAAAAAGTTTTAATAAAAGGCAAAAATAAAAAAGCTCTTTGCAGAGAAAAGCCGAGTCAGGACAAGAGGTTCTTGCTCCTGCTAAAACACTTCACAAAAGCGATCAACTTCTTTTGTTCTCTTCTTTTCCAAGGAGTTGCTTAGGTGGGACTTTTTGGCTTCTATCCTTAAGTTTGAGGTGAAGTCCCCAAGGTCCTATGAGGTGTCTTTTAACCAAATTGAGGAGAGAAACTGCAGGGTTTTTTTCCTTTTTAAGGGGACAAAGGGTAACTTGTTTACTCTGTCAACAGGGGGCACATTTCTACAATAAGATCTTTCATTAAAAGCTGTAAGTTCACTGAGTGATTGGGTAGGAAAGATTATGGTTCTGTGTCCCACCCTGTCCCACCCTTCCACTTCCCCCCTTCTCCTTGTCATAGACTACCATAGGTAATAATTTTTTTTAAAGTAATTATTTGGGGAAAGTGGAGGTGTTAATCTTTCAGATGCTTGCTACTCTTAAAAATGGCAAAGACTCTGAATTGCACTTGGGAGTCATGTCCCACTTAGCCACTAGATGCATATTTGCAAGGCAGTCTGAAGAACGCAAGTTAAAGGAATGCTTAATGAGTCTCTTTAAAAGGTGAAGGAAAGAAAAAGACCCTTTGACACCTGATCTTCAGGATGTGATAAGGCAGCTGCAATGTGCACATTGTTTGTGTTTGCAGTTTTTAAAAAATGTTGACAATTTTCATTTTGTAAAACAAGGGTTGTGGTGAAATATTTGTCATCTTTCTTTCTCTTAGGGTCTCCAAGCAGCTCAGAAAGAAGCTCAGATCAAAGTTCTTGAGGGACGCCTTAAGCAGACAGAAATTACTAGTGCTACTCAAAACCAACTGCTGTTTCATATGCTAAAAGAAAAAGCTGAATTAAATCCTGAACTTGATGCTTTTCTGGGTCATGCTTTGCAAGGTAGTTTTTTCATCTGGTTTTTTGAATAGTCAGCTGCATGTCATGTTTGCCTTTTGTGCATGCTGTACTGGGCATTCTAGACTGTTTATTTTCTGAATAGATGCTGTATTGTAGCATCTTATAGTTCACAATTAACATGTGTCTATGGCATTTTTAAGTAGACCCTTTCAGCAGTGAAATGTAGAAAACCAATTTTTTTTTGTATTGAGATTTTTTAAAAATTCAAACAATCTACTTGTTATTTTTACAGTCTGGAATAGTTTCAACTTCTGAATGGGAAGCTCAAAAATTCAATCCCGTTCTGTCATCCTATACTAAGGATTTTGGATTGGCATTTTATGTTGTTATGGCATCTATTCTACTTCTCATGAGATGATACTAAGAAAAATTTAGAATATGTTTGGGTACTTTTGTTTTATTTCTTTTTATAAATGGATATTGTTACGAACAAAGGAGCCTTCCTGGTTCCCATGGCAATATTGGGACACTGCTGGCTTGAGCTAAGTACTGATATTGAAATGTTAATTAGCTAATTGCTCCTGGGGATCACCTACACCCCCCACCCACACTGCCATTCTAGGACTGAGATGCAGAATAGAGGAACCAGTGGAATCATGGGGAGAGGGTTTTGGGGATGAAAACACCCCTAAATGGGGGGCTGGGCACAGTGGAGGGGGCTGGACAGGTGCGCTGGCTGGAGAAAAGGGAACCACATCCCTAGTCGATGTTTGACCTGTCACCATAGCCTACAGAGGACTAGACTGGACTGGGCTGTGGGAAGCAGGACCAAAGAAGCAGCTCTTCCTGGTGTTACCATGAGGAAAGGAGAGGGGACAGTTGCTGATCGGGACTTCAGCTACAGACTGCACACCTCTTCACCCTTTGGCTACCAGTGTGCCATGAAGACTTCAGGGACAGACTCTGCACGCCTTCTCCCCCTTTGGCTACCGGAAAAAAGCTACAACAGTGTGGGCAAGCTCTGTGTCGAGCCCCCTGCCCAGCTGATCTTTTTAATAAAGAGCTGAACATTAATAAAGGCATAAGCCCTGTTCATTTCAATTGGGGGCTCGTCCGGGATAGCCACACCTGAAGAGGACAGCTGGACAGCTGGACAGCTTGACCACCTGCTTCGAGGGACCCTCGGGATTTGCTGACTACCTCCCGACCCTAGGATCAACGTGAGACGAGCAACGCGGAGGATCAACGTGGAGGGCGACGGATCAGTGTGAAAAACCAGGAGGTGAGTGAGTGAGTGAGTGAGAGTGACTGAATGAGTGAGTGAGTGAGTGAGTGAGTGAGTGAGTGAGTGAGTGAGTGAGTGAGAGAGATGGGGGCCAGCAGCTCAGACCCCCGAAGTGAGAGGGACCCGCTAGTACCGCGTTTCCCGACTCCTGCGAAGGGGCTGGCCAGGAACGGGGGGAAGCAAGTAGAACAGAGGAGTGACTGAGGCGTCTCCTTAGAGGTAAAAGCCCTCCTCTGGGCATGTGAAGGTTCTCTAGGTGGGCATGTCCCTGACAGGCAGGACAGGATAACAGGGCAGGTGAGATGTCCCTGGCAGGTGGGGCAGGATGTCCTGGCAGGCAGGAGCAGCAAGTTCTGCCAGGCAGAGGGCATATCCCCGGCACGCAGGATGGGATAAAAGGGCAGGTGGAATGTCCCTGGCAGGTAGGGCAGGATGTCCCTGACAGGCAAAAACTAAAAGTCCCCGGCAGAGCAGGTAGGGGAAATGTCCCTGGAAGACAGGGCAGGATGTCCTTGGCAGAGCAGGTAGGGGCAGGTCCCAGCAAGCAGGAGGCATGTCCTGGCAGGCAGGGGCATGTCCTGGCAGGCAGAGGGCATATCCTGGCAGGTAGGGGGCATGTTCTAGCAGGCAGAGGGTATATCCTGGCAGGCAGGGGGCATGTCCTGGCAGGCAGGCATGAACCTAAGTAAGCAGAAAGCCAAAAAGGCAAGTAAGTAAGCAAGCAAAGAAGCTGATAGGAAAGCAAGCAGGCTAAGCCTAGTAGGAGAGTTAGGCAAGGAGGGGCTTGGCTGGAGTTTGAGTGTAAGGCTCGGCAGGGAGAACAAGCTTCTTAAGCATAGTAAGAAAGTTGGGCAAAAGGCCAAGTAAGAATTGGAGCGGGAGTTAGCAGGGGTCCAAGCCTAGAAAGTCCAGCAAGAAGTCAAAAAACTTAGGCCAAAAAACCAAGAGAACAGAAGACAATGGATGTGAGTGTGATTAGTGGTTTTCCTGGCCAAAAAACAATGTAAAATGTCCAGAGAGTAGTACCAAGAGTGGGAGTTTAGTTAAAAGAGATTAAGTTCAGTAAAAAGATTTAAAATACTAAGTTGTGGGAAAGAGCCAGATGAACTTTAGTTGCATATCAGTGTATTCCATTTTAGAGAGAAGCACCATTTAAGGTATATTTTTTTTCTTCTTGAGGCCTGAAAATGGGAAGAGGTTATAGGAAAGGAGCGGATCCTTCAAAAGAGAAAGCAAAGAGAATTCCCCCTAGCAGCCCCTTGGGGCAATTGTTAGACCAGTGAGATTCTTGAGAGGCCACAAAGGGTCTAGACAAGAGTAAGATGATACATTACAGTATAGAAGTATGGCCAAAGTTAAAATTACAGGGAGAGTGGCCATGGTATAGAAGCCGAGATCAGTGTATGTGTCATCAGGTAAACCAAGACCTAGAAGCCATAAGAGTATATTTAAGGAGGGAAGAAGAAAAAGCCAAAAATAAAGCTAGAATTATGGTTGCAGTTGCTCGAGAACGTATAAGAGCAGACAGATCACCAGCACTGCCATCTAAGTCAAGTTGGAATAGACCAGGGCCATTACCAGAAAAAAAAGTAGAGACCAACCAGCATCATCATATGAAACAAATAAGAACTTTAATGAGTTCAGGAAACCTGAGGCTTCACAAGCAACAGGAGGTGCTATTACGGTGGTGAGATAGGACACCTTAAAAAGAATTTTAAGAAGTTTCAGTTTGATGAGGCAATGCATAAAGAACAAGAAGTCTTAGAAGAGATTTCAGGGGAGACGACTAGGGGTGTCAGGGGCTCTATAAGTTAAGGGATCCAATGAATCATCAAGAAGAGCCCTTGGTAAACTTTGAAGTAGGTGCCCACTAAAAAGAATTTGAGTTCTTAGTTGACACAGGGGCAGATAAGTCCAGCATAAACAAGCTACCAGTAGGAGTCATCATTGGAAAGAAAGTCTGTGAGGTTTTAGGGGCAGAGGGAAGGCCATTTAAAGCATTTATAGCTGAAAATATAGAAATCAAGGGGAATTCTAGACAACGTTTGGCAGACTTTATCTATCTGCCAAACTTAGGAAGTAATCTCTTGGCAAGAGACTTGCAAGTCCAGTTGGGGGTCGGGATCATCCCCTGAGATGGAAGGATGGTCGTCCAGGTCATGAATTGACCCCCTGGGGAATCCAAGGTTTGTGCGACCATTTTTTACGGGAGAATTTATGTATTAAGAGTGTATGACCTGGCAAAGGCAGTCACAAGAGGGTGTGTGATTTGCCTGATGAAAACTGACCAAAAGGTAATGAGAAAAACAGCACATGCGGGAGGAAAACTGGCTTTAAGACCTTTCCAAAACATACAAATAGATTTCACTGAAATGCCCTCTGTGCAGACGTACAAACATTTACTAGTGATTGTAGATCACCTCACTCACTGGGTGGAGGCTTTCTCAACCAAAAAGGAAACCGCGCAAGAAGTTGCAAGAATAATCTTAGAAAACATCATACCTCCATATGGGCTAGTCAATAACATTGACTCAGACCGAGGTCCACATTTTGTCGCTCAAACTTTGCATCAAGTAACAAAAGCCCTGGGGATAAACTGGAGATTGCACACCCCATGGCATCCTCAAAGCTCGGGAAGGGTAGAAAGGATGAATAGAACTCTTAAAAATATGATAACCAAATTAATTGAGGAGACAAAAATGAATTGGCTCAAGTGTTTACCTCTTGCACTCTTACACATGAGAACAAGACCTCGGTCTGACATAGGGGTCTCTCCCTATAAAATGATGTTTAGACTCCCTTTTCTAATCACCCCTTTCAGTACTGCAGATGATTTAGAAGTGGAGGCAGCAACTCAGAAATATTTTTAAATCATAGGAAAATCCCTAGAAAGCCTCAGAAAGAAGGGGTATCTCCCCCAAACCTCCCCTCTGGATGCCAATGCCTACAACATCAGTCCCAGGGACTGGGTGTTAATAAAGTCCTGGAACACCACCACTTCATTAAGCCCCAGATTCGAAGGACCTTTCCAGGTGCTACTCACCACACACACACCAAACCCAAGAAAAAGGCGGGACCCCTGTCACCAGAGTAAAAGGACCAGCGCCACCCCCAGACACCAGACCAGACCCAACAGGGTCACCCACCTCCTCTTGTGCATGGACGGTAATTAAGGGACCAGAAGACTTAAAATTAACTTTAAAGAAGACTTGCTAGAAACTGATATACAGTAGAGTGTTAATAACTGTTTCTGAGGTAAAGTACCATAGTGAAAGTTTAAATACTTTGTAACTGTTTAATAAGAATAGGTGTCCTTTAGCCAAAGAAGTTTAAAAAAAAAATTAGTTAAAATATTATTAAGTCTTACTTTGTTTCTAGAGATTAGAAGAATTACCAAAAGAAACTAACCCTCAAAAGCCAGAGACTAAGTTGACGCGGGCTTAAGCCCGATCAAAGAAATAGAAGAGGGATTTGTTATGAACAAAGAAGCCTTCCTGGTTCCCATGGCAATACTGGGACACTGCTGGCTTGAGCTAAGTACTGATATTGAAATGTTAATTAGCTAATTGCTCCAGGAGATAACCTACACCCCCCACCCACACTGCCATTCTAGGACTGAGATGCAAAAGAGAGGAACCAGTGGAATCATGGGGAGGGGGTTTTGGGGATGAAAATACCCCTAAATGGGGGGCTGGGCACAGTGGAGGGGGCTGGACAGGTGCGCTGGCTGGAGAAAAGGGAACCACATCCCTAGTCGATGTTTGACCTGTCACCATAGCCTACAGAGGACTAGACTGGACTGGGCTGTGGGAAGCAGGACCTAAGAAGCAGCTCTTCCTGGTGTTACCATGAGGAAAGGAGAGGGGACAGTGGCTGATCGGGACTTCAGCTACAGACTGCACACCTCTTCACCCTTTGGCTACCAGTGTGCCATGAAGACTTTAGGGACAGACTCTGCACACCTTCTCCCCCTTTGGCTACCAGAAAAAAAGCTACAACATCGGGGGCAAGCTCTGTGTCGAGCCCCCTGCCCAGCTGATCTTTTTAATAAAGAGCTGAACATTAATAAAGGCATAAGCCCTGTTCATTTCAGATATGTTTTGATTGGAATGTTGCTTTTTTTTCCTCGTTGCTGTATTTACACAGACCTAGATAGCATACCACTGGGTAAGTATGTTTAGCTTTCTATGTACTGTACAGCTGCATGAGTTACTAACTCATTCATGTTCACTAACTGATGCATCTTAGAATTTGTGAGTCTGTGAAATTTGCATGAACTGTTCTGTAAATGAACTCATTATCATGAGCTTAAAGAGCATTTCTTCCTTTCTGAAACCACTCCTAGCTCTCGTGGTAATAGCCCTTGTGGTAGTTAAAAGTGAAGACAGTAAGCAGAGCCATATTTCAAATTTATAACTTGGTGCTTGCGAGCCCAGAGTGTGTTCAGACTACATAGAATTATTTTGTGATATACTACTGTTCTGACAAATTCTGCTCATCTTTTTAGGTTTGGAAAAAAGGCAATTCTTAACTTGCAGGTAATTTTAACCTTTTGCAAATAGCTCATTTTGTAATGTAAATATTGTACAGAATGCAGGATCATATCCCACTTTTTCAATTGTGTTTAAGTTACTGACTTCACTGATTTTGAGATAAAAGTTGCTCTTATTGTTGTTGCTTTGAAGTTATTCCCAAATGAATTAAGCTTATTTTCTTCCCTCCAAAGAATTGGCTATATTTGGAATTTGAGAAAAATAATCCCGTTACCAGTGATAATTCCTTTAGTGTTGTCTTGTGCTGCTTTTAATCACATTTTGCTGTCCTGTGCTAGTTTGCACAGCATTTCAAAGCACAAAACTACATGGAAGTGTATAGATCATAATGTAAAGATGGTGAGAACTTGGCCAGCTTCCTGTCAGGTGACACTTGAAAATCCGTGTCAGGGGATCTTGCTGCCTACAGCCAGTTATTTATTCAGGGACCTCAGTGGTTTGTAATATCATGGTGTCTCTAGAACAGGCCTTTAACGTGTGTGCATGTTCACCTCTGTTGGAGCATTGTTCCTCCTGACAGCATTGCATTTTCTTTAGCTCTGGACAGGCTTTTACTTATTAACAATATCTGAAACATATGAAAAAAAAGCCATGTACTAAATGTATTGTACAGTAGATCTGTAATAAAATTCTTCATAGAGTGTTTTCTTGTTAAAGAAGCTTTTTAACACTTTGCAAGCATGACCTGAAGCTGTGAGAGTATCTAAGCCAGCCAGGAATCTGCTAACACTTTATAGGAAGGAAATGCAGCTGAATATGCTGCACTAACCTAGGTCCAAGACTGTTGGTAGTCTGTGTTTTGTGGCTCACTAGTGACCAAACCTTTTGAGCTGCAGGGAGTTCAGACATCACTGTAGTGAGGCTTTGATGCTGGGATTGCCAGCTGGTTTGCAGGGATTCTTGTTGGGGCAGGGCCTGGCAGAGTTCCTGCAGGTAGAATGTGGGTGGCAGCAGATCCTGAGATCAATCTCACCAGATGCCTGACATCTCAGTGTTGGAGCACAGACAGCCCTATCCCAAGCAAAGGGATTGCACTTCCATGGTATTTGTGATTCGCCCTCTTGATGCCTGCTTTCAGATCCACCATCTTCAGAAGTTCTTCGCTATTTGAATACACTTGGCTCAGAAGAGCTTGAACATTCCCCAGTGTAGTTATGCACTTGCATTCAACTGTAGACAAGAAGTTTCAGTCTGCAGCAAAGTACATCACAGGCTCAGGTTTTGACTTGAATGGACTTTCAGTGCACACTCACCTTGCTGGATGAGCCAGCTGCCATTCACTATCCCATCTGCTCTTGTGAAGAGTTAAAATGACCATGAAATTGAGTTTTGAATGTTGCTGAATTGACTCCTCTTTGAGGAGCTGTGGAAGCTGGTTTTACTTCCCACCTGTGATGTATGGACATTCACAGATGTGAGTCACAACCACCTATGTGCAGATTTTGAGAGGGCTGGTCAAATGGCATTTCCTCTGGGTGAACTGTGCTGGTGTATGGCATTGTTCTGGTACCGTCCAGTTGCCACTGCATGAGGATGAAGACAAATAATCAGAAAATTCTCCACCTGTTCTGCAAGCAGTGGTTTGCTAGCAGCTATCCCTGCAAACATTACTGTCTTTACTAACTTCATTTCTCCTTTCATCTCTTCCAACTCTTGCAGAATCTTGCTCTTTCTACCTTTTTGTTGATTCTGTGCACTGGTTTCTATCTCGGGGCTTTGGGCAGTCTTCCTGTGTTGAATTGCAGGCAAACTGAAGAAACTCATCAGGTCACATAAGAGTGAGCCTACAAATAAAATCCCACCTTTTGTGGTCATTCCACACTTTCTACTTAGTTACCTGTAAAAAGAGATCACAAGTTCTTTATGAGTACTGGGATGAAGTAACATAATTCTAATAGGAATCCTATCTTTTTTAAAAATGCATTTATTTTAGAGATGCTGCTTTTGTCTTACTGAAAGGAGTAGTACTCTAAATCCCCACTTCTGCAGAAGGCATATAATAGTAATAGCAATAATAACAAGACTAATGACAATAATAAGTATTGAAAGATTTTCATCTAGCCTCAAATCCATGATGGAACAAAAAGAAAACTGAAAATTCAGAGTGCTATTCCTGTGACCCTGCTTTCTTTAGAATATTGTTCTGTTTCTGATAACTAAGATTACATTGTTAAGATTAATTTAGCAGTTTGGTAACTCTGAAGCACATTATTGGTGTTGGTTCTAGGTTGATGGTTTTAACTTTTTCAGGAAGCACATTTAGATGCAGCAAACACAAAAGGCAGTATTTTCCTTCTCTTTTTTCCATTCCTTCTCAAATTTCAGCTGAAAACTGCATATCTCTCCTCCCTTTCTCCAAAGCATGAACTTGCACTTAAAACATATACATGGACAAACCTAATATGTTCTAATTTGTAACCCGTGCTCTAATATGGGTTACAAATATATTTGTTCTATGCATTGCAAATGGTATCTGCTTTTTAACAGAAAGTAAGTAAAGAAACATAGTGTCTCTTCTAGTAAAGAGGTGTAATGGAATGTCATTACAAGGTTATTTAGTCCTTAATATTTCCTGCATATGTTCAAAAATGAGGGACTTCGCCTGCAAAAATGTGTTACCTATGTCCTTGATCTATGCCTAAAATGTATTATTAGATTAATGTGCAATTTACGGGATTTGCTTTCCCAGCAGTTTGGAACGGATTGTACATGTGCCCTTGACTCATTGTCTCAGCTAAATGTTTCGCACCATTTGCGTGCAGACGTGTCAATTGGATGTTTGACAGTGTTAGTGTGTGACATGCATGCTGGGTTTGTCTTCTGTGGACAAGTTTGTGTATCCATTTTTGCTTCAGGAACATTTCTACTAAGCAGCTTCATTTAGAAATTAATCTCCTTTTACGAAGCCGTTCTATAGTATTAAGTGGTAGCATCATCCTCTTTGGAAATGAATCCTTATATACTAGTGAAGTGCTTGCTTCTTGTCAGCTCAAATGCTTGGTGACATTCTGTATCAGAGGAGGCTGAGCCTCAGCTCACTAGCTAGTTAAAAATATAATTTTCTTTTTCATTATAGCCAGGCTGATTCTGTCTTGGAGCAAGAAGATGAAAAAAAAGAGGAGAAAGAGACATTCTTACTGTCCATTGATTTACATTCCATATCGTCCATGTCTTGCAGATAATTTTCTTTGCTTTATCTGCTTTCTTACAGATTTCCTTCTAGAATTTCTGTTTTTCTATCTTCTGTTGCTGTGCTACAGTAGACAGAGGACCATTTTTGACACAGTATGCCTAGGTGTATGATGTATTTAGATTGTATGAGAAGAATTACTTTAGGTATCAGGAAAATTCAGGGGGCTGGATAGAAAATAGTCAATATATTTTGCAAATCCCTTTCAACATTGTCTGAGTTGCTTTGTATAGCAGCTAAAGCCTTCACATTCTGTTGTAGAGGGACAGACTAATGTTATTCTTCTGGAAATTTTCTAGAAAACTTGGAAGATAGTACTGATGAGGATGCCCCATTGCATAGTCCTGGAACAGAAGGAAGGTGAGGAAATCTTTGTTACTACCAATTCTAGAAAAATTACTGTAATTTCCTCCTTTTGTAATGCAGACTCATATATCCTTTAGAAAGTATCTCTAACATCGTTTCATTATACTTTGCCCACAATTTCAGTAGGAAGAAGAGTAAAATTAAAATACACACCTGCCAATCTGCAAAAAGTATGACTTTCTAATTTTGATGCAATTTTTCTTTTAGTTCAGTATCTTCAGATCTCTCGAACCTTTGTGGTGAAGTCAAGCCCAAAAGCAAGGTAGGATGTATAAGGATGATGATGATAATTCTTCTAAGTGATTCCATGAATCTATAATAATTCATCATTGTCGTGGTTTGACATGGAAAAGAATTTTCTCAGGAGGAAGAGGGTCAGGCCAATCAGGGGTCAGGGTTGGATATTGGCGTTTGGGCTGACCACTGAAGGTTGGACACACCTCTGAGAACATAGAGGGGTTAAAAGCAGAACTCCCAGGGGAACTGGCTCTCTTTTGTTCCGGTCATCAGAGAGTGCAGACTCTTCCCTTCCCAGCCAGGTGGCTGGGTGGGGAGGGGAGCCACGCAGCCCAGGTTGAGTTAGGCAGAAGGGTGGAGGGGCTGGAAATGGCTCGGGCTCCCTGCGGATGGAAGGGTGGAGGAAATCTGGGATGTTTCTGTTCCCCCCCCAGAGTCTCTCTGGAGAGTGAGAGAAAGAGACCGTGACAGTGCCAGCAGTACACCGGCAGAGGAGGTGGAAGGGGGAATAGGTGGGAGCTGGAGGCCTGGGCCGAGAGCCATCCAGGGAGTCGGGACTTTTAACCCTGTCTTGGGAAATGAGGGCTTTGTGAAATATCCTCCTCAATTTGAAAGAGAAGAAGAGAGACAGCCTGGGACCTGAGATGTTAGGAAAAGAAGGTTGCAGGGGAAGATGATGGAGTGGCTTTTGGCTGGACTTTTTCTTGTTAGCCATAGACTGAACCGATTTTCTCCTCCAAGAGAGAGACTGTATTTTAGGAGGATGCATGGTGAGCCAAGAGACCTGCTTCAACAGCTGAGAAAAAGACAGGAGTGGAGTGAACAGAGGAAAGTTGAGGAGGGTTGTGGTGATGCCCCCTGTCTTCAGAGAAGAAGAAGAGAAGAAGAGCTCTGTTCTTGGACCCTGGGCCCCAGGGGGAAATGGGGGGGACTGCGATCCCAAAAATGAAAAACTGAATTGTTGCTTTTTTTTCCTCTTGGCATAGCATCCTTGAAAAAAAAATCCTAGGAACAGTCTGTCCATACATAGTAGTGAGAGCACTGTGCATGCAAAGGAGAGTGTCACACTGGCAGATTCTTTCCGGGCGGTGCCACCTGTGACTTGGAAACACAAGATGTGGCAATTGTGTTTCTTGGCAGGTCTACGGCAGAGAAGAGACTCCTCTCTCCCTCAATGGACTGAGAATTGATTATCTGAAGGGCGGGAACCTGATTGGGGGTCCAAGTAGCGTCTCACTGTGGTTTGTTTGAATTGGGCGGGGGGGGGGGGGGGCAGGAGGAATGTTTTGGAAGGTTTTCATTTTGGATTTAGTGTGTGGTTTTTTTTTTTTTTTTCCTTTTATAGCAGTAGTAGTTTAATAAAGTTTCTCCTTTGTTATTAAGCTTGGGCCTGCTCTGCTCTGTTCCGGATCGTATTTCACAGCAATCATTTGGGGGATTGCATTTTCATGGGGGTGCTGGCATTGTGCCAGTGTCAAACCATGACAATCATTTAATGATACCTTCTGGTATCATTAAAAAAAAGCTATTGCTTTGCCCAAGAGACTTCAATGAATGAAGATGTGCAAAAGGTGAACTGATGTACTTTACATATGATTTGTGTGCCATATGATTTTGTGTGACACTCCTCTCTAAGAAGCAATGATAAAAATAACTTCATCAGTATTTTGGGGTTAAGCTATTAGAATTCCAGAAAGAGATGTGTTCTTCCAGTTACTTGCACTCCAAACTGGGGTAATTTTGCATATTAGTATTAGGCTACAGTTCAATGCTATTGCCAGTGGAACTGTGGACACGCTTATTGTTTGCGATTTGTCACAGATATCTTGAAGTTTATGAAACAAAAGTTTGACCTCCAGGATCTTAATTATATATCTAGGTTGACTACAGTTTAATATTAATGGCAGTGGGAACTGGAAATGTGCACTGATGGCAATTTTGCTTCTGTGCTAACAGGAGCACAAACATAGTTTGGAAAGTAAATAGAAGCTTAGTCTCTAGTTTTCCAACTGCAGCTGGCTTTGGAAGAAACCATCTGTGTTGGCTGTTGAATTATTTGGTAATATTCCTTGGTGTGCAGCTTTTTGGGCTGTTTAACTAAGTGAGTTTGGTCCAAAAATGCAATGAAATAAGCATATCATTTTTGTAATGGCTCCTTTCTGACTGGATCTTTGTCTTCCCTGTTGGTCTTTCTTTCCCTGAGGACTAGATCTTTAATTCACTGTAAAATCACACCTAACATGTATGATCCATTTTTTACAAATTACTGTGTTGCACAAAGTTGTTGTGAGTTTTTCTGTTGTTTTCAAATTGTTGAAATGCTGAATGAATTTTAATTCATGTGGACTTTTGAGGTGACTTAAACAAAGAAGAAGCAGAGTTTGTATATGAGAAGAAGCATTGATGTTAGAAGTCACACCAGTATAATTGTAGCTCTTTAAATTGACACTTTGCTTTATTCCTCTCTGTTTTATAACATTTCATTTGGATAAACCATAGGTAAGTAATATTGTACTCCTGTAGTATTGACAGGCAGCTGGTTGTAAGAATATAGTTGGAAACCAGTTGTCAAATCAGTGGTTTGACATTGAATTGGAATTGCCTTCTCTGAAGTTGTTGCCCAAAAGCAGAGATGAGCTTCTTGGTTTAGTTTCCAAAGGCAATTGCCAAGAGTTTGAGGGGGATGCTAATTGCCAGCTAATAATGATAAGCTTGAGTGTAGGGCTCTTGACACACACCACTGCATGTTGAAGTGGCAGTTTGGTTTTTGTCTGTCTCCAGGCCCGCCGCAGGACCACCACCCAGATGGAATTGCTGTATGCAGCCAACAGCGACCTGGTCTCCGACAGTAGCGCTGCAGACTCTGCCTCGGCTGGCTCTGCCGCGTCAGCTGCAGAAACCCAAGAAAGTGGGGTGGCTGCTGACACACATGATGCTTCTGCTAGGGACAGAGAGTTTATACCCCCACCACCTGGCTTACCTTCTAAGATAGGCAGCATGTAAGTTTGGCCATGCTGTACTAATTATCCTTTGCTTTTAAAAAATGCATGTCGCCAATTTCTTGTAATCTATTATCTTAACTTTACAAATGAGGTTAATATACTTGAAACTTACTAAATAATCCTGACAAAGCTCCTTCCTTTTTACCATCACCACTCTAGAAAGTGTAAATGCAGTCTTGTAAGTACTGTGATTCTTATTGAAGATGTAAGTTCTGTTAGGCTGCTTTGTTATTATAACTGTGTTCTATGTAGAGGGGAAAACCCCTCTAATACCTTGAATGCTATATTACTGCTATGGGAAATGCACATTCTAGGGAGATAGTGAGAATCTGATTAGAACAGCAGTGAGATTTAAAACAAACAAAATAACAACACACAACCAAAAATTCGAAAACTTTATCATTGTATTTGTGTATGGTTCTAATTATTAGGAAAAATCTTTCTGTGAGTTGTCTTGTATGGATTGTGCATGAAATAAAGAAGTCTGTGCAACAATGGAATATTCAAGTAAAAAGTTGAAGGAAAATGTTAGAATATTATGAATCCTCAAAAATCCTTCCTGTTTGCATATTGGAAACTTACCTGCAGAAGAATATCTCAAGTTCTCTTGATTCTAAACAGAACTAAAAATATTTTTGTCTTTTTACTTTGGGACCAGTAGATATCTCTCACATGCACTCACACTATTTTTTTCTTTTCCCTTGCTCTTGCTGTTCATTTTAGATCTACCACTACCACTGTTAGTTATTAGCCAATCACTGCAAGAGACCCTTTTCTTGGCTTTTTAGGTAGTAGCTCCTATGTTGCACAAGCTCATGTGTAAATTCAATGCACTTCCCACATTCAGTGATCTGGAAATCGGTGTCCTGTAGCTATCTTCACGTTACAGGTTCTGGAGTCATGCATCGTTTAATCTTCATCTGTCCTATTTGCATAATATTTCTACAGCAGTCTCTGCCTAATGTACATTTGCAATTTGTATTTTTTACTATGTGTTTCTGGCATGTGCTAATATTCAGGTGTGGTTTCTGTGGCTATTCTACTAGCTGGCTGTTAAAAATACCACATCAGACACTTTGAGTGAGTTGGCAAACTTTTGATCTTGCAGGTTTTAAGCCAACATTTCAACATTTGTGCAAGCATATACAACCGCAAAAAGGACATTGATTTAGATTTTGTAAATAATACTTAGTTGATTTCTGTTGAGATTTTGAATTTAGTGGCTATGTGAGGGAAAAAAAGGGCATGTTATAAAATTTTATTTTTTATCTAGATTTGCATTCTAAAAGTTTGGTAGTTTTACCTTTTTGAAGTCCTATCCTAGCTTTTTAAACTTATGGGAGAATTTTTCCTGCAAATATTTTTTGAGGGGAGTTTACCAAGTATGCTTTTACTCAAGAGTGTTGACAGTTGTTTAATTAAATGAAGTTACATCTTTTGGAAATTGTTGCTGAAGCAGAAAGTCTCAGCTCATTGACACCAGATGATACTTGCACACAAATTCAGAAATGCCAGTAAGCTCTCATGGGCACTGCAGATCTTTGATCTTGGTAGCTGGTGTTTTAATGTGGCAGATGGGTCTTGCTACACTTACCATCATGCTATCATAACTAGAGTCTATACATGAAGCTTTCTCTTCATCTTTTCAGTACTTATTTCAGTATAAATGCATGTCTAAAATACATGGAGTGATACAGACATGGTGCAGCAAGGAGAATTTCCTGTTCTTGCCAATAGTGGTGCAGATTTATTGAAAACTTCTATGCATTTGGAATTTTAACACATCAAAGGTTGTAGTATTTAAGTTCCTTTGCTACGAAATCAGAAGAGTGACTAGAGCACTCTCTGCTGGGATTTTCAGAGGCCTCCAAAACATGGAAGACTTTGGGTCCCTTCTCACCTTTGTAGTTTTGTTGTGTCAGTTTGAACTTGGCCATGCTAAATCTCAAAACTTGTCCTGAGCTATGTTTTTGATAATGAATTATTGAATTAAAAATTGGATTCTTCTCTTCATGTATCATCATCCACACTTTATAGTCTCTAAATTGTCTGCATTTTCACTAGTCTTAAGATTTTTATTCTTTTAAAATGCTTCGGAAGCTAATATGCAGATCTTGAAAGCACATTTAATGATTATCCTTGCTTAGTTTTGATGATGACAGATGCCTATGTGTATTTTTTAAGAACTACTTTATTTGCCGTTTTTCTGCAGTGCCTACAGAAATGGAGGAAAATGTATGAGTGCAAATGAATGAATTTATTTTAATTAACTGCGTTTAGGAAAAGCACAAGATTTTTCAGGTTTTGTTTTAATTATTGTTAATATTTTCCCCCTTTTTGTTTGTCTTTATTTAGATCATACCTGTAAAGTCTGGAATCTGGTAATTGGACATGAGATTTTGTCTTTAGGGGATCATCCAAATAACGTAGTTTCTATTAAATATTGGAACTACAATAGGTCTTCACAGTTTCAACCTCCTATATCAAGGTGTGGGACATCAGAGATTCTGCAAAGTGCATTCGGACGTTGACGTGAGTATGCTGAGCCTCAGATGCCAAGCATTAAGATGAGTGTTAGTTTTAGATACATTTTATTATATTTAATACAATATTGTAGTACAGTGTAATATGAGTACACTGTTGGGGATGGGAGCTTTCTTTACTTGTTCAGGCTAAGTCAGTATGGGCCACCAGCAAAGGGAACACAAAACAATGTGTTCATGTGTGTGTACAGAGTTTTATCAGATGCTTAGTATTCATAATTACCTTATAGCCTTTTCTACTCACTGAAATAGAATTGTTTTTAGAGACTATATGAAGTGTGGCAAACAAACTGTAGAATTTGGGTTTTTTCTTTTTTTTTTTTCCCTTTTTTTCCTTCTCGACTCAGGTCTTCAGGCCAAGCTATGCCTGCTGATGTGTGTTCAGGAAGTACTAACAGAACAGTTGCTATCCCAGCTGGAGAGAACCAGATCAACCAAATTGCACTAAATCCAACTGGCACATTCCTCTATGCAGCTGCTGGAAACTCGGTGAGGATGTGGGACCTGAAAAGGTACTGAACACCAGTCAAAGAGAATGTTCTTTAGGTGGTTAGGTGTGCATAGGCAGCAAAGTTATGCATATGAAACAGTCAGTTTCTTCTATATGGTAGTGTCCATACCTGGGCAAAATATGGTATCGGTTACAGATCAGCTAATCAATCTGTGGTGGCTACTGAGATAGTAATTTTCTCATGTGTTAAGGTTGTGGTGAATCATTTCAGTAAAAATGACAGGAAAAACACAAGGTTTCGTTGTAAGGTGAGAATGGGAATCCTGACTAGTAATTGTTGATGAAATGAGGGAAGTCAATGGAAGTAATGCAGAATTGTCTCCAGAATTGTCAAGCCACTTTAGATATTATAAATTATCTCTATGAGCCGCTGTCTATGAATTCTCAATGCTTCTGTTCAGCCCAGAAAATAAGATTATGTGGAGACCTCATAACTTTCCAGTATCAGAAAGGGGCTTACAGGAAAGCCAGACAGGGACTCTTCATCAGGAACTGTAGTGACAAACAAGCAGTAATGAGTACAGATGGAAAAAGGGGAAATTTAGGTTATGATATTAACATGAAATTTTTCACTGTGAAGGTGGTGAGATACTGAAACAGGTTGCCCAGTGAGGTTGTGGATGCTGCAATACTGGCAGTATTCAAAGCCAGGCTGGATAAGGCCTTGAGCAGCTTGGTATAGTGGGAGGCGTCCCTCCTACCAAAGAGGGGTTGGGACTACATGATCATTGAGGTCCATTTTAACCCCTTAACAATCTGTGGTTCTCTGCATGGGTAGGGCTGTTGGGCTACTGAGGCGCTGTGGTCCTGTGGCCTCTCTGGCACGCCACAGGGTCAGGTCCGCAGGCACCTGATGGTTGTAGAAATGATGAGCTTCCACCAAAGGCGGGTGATTCACGAGTGGCTTTATTCCGGAGGGTTCAGGAGAGGTAAGGCGAGGTGGGTGATGAAGGGAAGCAACCGCTCCAAAAGACGACCAGCTCTGAGAGCCCCGAACTAAGGGCGGGGCGGGGATTATAACTGCAACTGGGAAGGAGGGTCAGGGTGCGAAACAACCAACGAGGTGAGGGCTCGAGGGTGGAGTCAGGGAAGAGCGACAGGGCAACAGCCAACCGGGATAGAGGGAAGGAGTGGCTTCGGGGGGAGAACCAATGGGGATACAGAGAACTTAGAACTTTCCAGAACTGGGGGAAGGAGTACATAATGACAGACAGGAACAAGGGGACGGGATAACAAAAGATTGACAACCGGGGGAGGCGGGAAACTAAATGTCAGTTGCCTCCCAAGGCAAAGCAGGGGGGCCATCAGCCACACCCCCTCCCACATCTCCCCCGTCTTTATTAATTAAAAAGGCATCCCCTAACGTTTTAATCAGAATCCTCTTAAAGATAGCTAAAGTGATAAAAATGAGGAGGATAATTACAAAAATCCACATGAGTCCTCCGAGAATGGAGGCTGCCCACCTGGAGACACCCCACTGCGAGACAAATTTGTTCACTGGGTCCGCAGCCGAAGTCTCAGTTTTTAGATCTTGGACTTGTGTCTGGATCCGCTTGATGTTGGCTTGTATGGATGTGCTTCTGGACGATAGGTTGGAGCAGCACAGTCCATCAAAGTCCTCGCAGCTGTGGCCATGGGCTAGGAGTAGAAAGTCTATAGCCGCTCGGTTTTGTAGAGTGGCATGCCTGGTGGTTTGCTCATCTGCCAGGAGGTCAGAGAGGGCGGCAGACGTGGTGTTGGCATTCTTGCTAATCCAGCACTCCAGGTGAGAAAGCTCACCGAGGGCCTTAGCTGCTGCATACCAAGGTAGAAAAATGGATGCAGCGACCCTCTTTGTTTTGCCCCAGTTGTAAATTTTGGAATCACAATTTTCATCGAATTGGTTGTAGGATCTTTTTGTACGTGCCAATTGTCTTTCCTTTTTCCAATCAAGAATTTGGGTCCTGTTCGGAGTAAGGGTAGCAAGTTTGCCAAGGCTGCATGGGCCTCCCTGGAGCCGGGATGGAATTCCCGACCATACTCTGTCCCCACAGATAAGAAACATCCCCTTGGGCAACACCTTAGGACGAGTGGAGGAGACCGAAATGACCGGGCTGGTGTAATTGCACCAGGTCTGACTGTTATATTTTTTATTGAGAGGTGTCACATCTTTCCTGTAAATATTCTTGGCCAAGTCAATCCCATGCTAATTTTGACTTGGCCTCCTATAATAAAATTTGATACAATATTGTGCGTTAGAGGACCCCAGCAAGTCCAAATCTTGGGGTTCCTCTTTGCTGTTGGGCAGAATTTTGGTCCACTCGTCCCAAGTGTCGACCGGGTTAGGTCTCTTACCCGTGGTTCGGAGCAGGTCGGAATTGGACACGGGCAAATCATCAGCTACCAGGGGGACCCCCACCAGGCATGTGGACAGTGGGTTGTTCACATTGCCCATGGCCAAACATAGATTTTCCTGCTGCAAGGACCTCGCAAGCGTGACCCAGACATTTTCCTTAGGCTGCTGGACAATCCAGCTGTCCGCCACTTGCAGCCACAGGATGACGACTGCAGCGACGGCCAGCTGGGCGCAGTGGGGCATCTTCAGATGTTCATTCCGGATAGGTGTCATGTGGGCAGCCATCCTCATTCTAAAGGAATGAAAGAAATGTAAATAACAGAAAGAGTTTAGTTCCCTCCCCTCCCAGGCTACCAGGTCTGGTGACAGATACTGTCATGCCACAGGATATTACTGTCTTGTCTACTAAGTCAGTAATACTAGTCATCTCTAGGAACCTGATTTTTCTGGTTTGTCATTGAATTTTTTGTTCCAATTGGAACGGATGCATGTTAATTGAATGCGGTAACTTATTTAAAAATATTTTTAGCTCAGAAGGTATTATTTTACACTACCAAGCTCTCCCTTTTCTACTGTCAAGCTTATTCATTCTAAAAGGCCAATAAAGAGCAAATAATAGAGAATAAAATTTGACATTTGCTTATGAAACAGAGCTGCTGGTTTTAAGAGTTACAGCTCATCTGTTCTTTCAGCTCAGTCTCACTGGGTGAGTTCTGGTTCCCTACAATGCAAAATGAATGCTGCTTACACTGCAGCTCTAGCAACAAAGACTTAATGGCATTGATTTTGCCTTAAATTGTCAAAAAAACCTTTCTTAAAGAGTTTGTTCTAACACCCCATTCTTGGAGCACAGGCAAGGAGAGAGGTGTGTCTAATCCATGAAAAGCATCAGTGTGTAATAGTATGTAACTGTTACCAAAACAACTTGTCCAGAAAAACACATTAATCCTGTTTCTGAAGCTACTTACCTGTGCAATTCTCCCAGAGTGAGTTATGTTTCCCAAACTCACCCATGAACTTTGTTTCTCTAGCCCATCACACAGGGTATATATGGGCCCTGCCTGTGAAGCTGCTGTGTATATGATACTCAAGTAGTAGTACTTCTTCCCAGAGCAGTGTTCTCTGAAGTCAGTGGAGTATTCCCACTTCAGGCAGGAGGTGGAAGAGGAGAAAGGAGTGGTTCTGGTAGATAAATTCTGTCAAATATACATCATGATACTGTGGCCTGTAATAAGACTGTAATAATTTTTTTCCCTAAAGTTATTTGCTGCATGACTTTCAAGCAGATTAGATGGCAGAATATTTCATGTAACATATTTCATTATTTATTTTAGATGTTTGATGTGACTGAAGGGGCTCTTGGAAGCGTAAGTCCTACACACAATTTTGAACCTCCTCATTATGATGGCATTGAAGCACTTGCTATTATGGGAGATAACCTTTTTAGTGGATCGAGAGGTAATGGAATTAAGAAATGGGATTTGTCTCAAAAAGACCTTCTTCAGGTAATGAAAGAAATCATGCAGCTGCTGTGACAGTCACGCTGTAGAACTGTTTTCAGGCTGTTTAAATGTTCAGGTTCATACAGTGACTATTCACATAGACACTGATGTTTTTAATAGGGAAGGCATGGAGCACTGACTAAGAAAGCAATCAATAATGTACTTGATCTTTACATGCAGTTGCTTTTCTCTTGTGTGCATGTAGTATCAGGAAATTCTGATGAAGTGGTGATCCTGTTTTAGCTCTGAGTACATGGAGTTGTTTTTCTGCTTCAGAATAAAAGCAGCATTTGCCTCATTTGTGACTGGAATCATTGAATACTTGTCTTTGACAAGTTAGTAAATTTTGGATTGGGAACTCATTAATGAGAAACAATACTTTAGATCAGGCTACAGAATGTTTTCTTGTGATGAGGTTTTACAGCCTGTCTCACTCCACCCAGTCTTAGACCTTAGATCATCTCCTTATACAGTGCACGTGTGATGTTATGTATACAACACACTTAAAACAACACTTGCTGTCAGAACACATTTGCTGTATGTTTTTCCTTACGTAAAAAGGAAAAAAAGGAAGTGGGTGTAAAAGGACTCAAATCTGGGGAATTTGCAATCTGTGTGGCATGAAGAACTTTGCTTTTTGCCCACCTGCTATAAGCTGTTCTTTTCTTCTAGGTCTTATAAGAGGTTCTTGAGGTATAGTTGTGATTATTTAACTTGAGACTGAGTGAGAACTGGAAGGCAGAAAAAGAAATACCAGAAGAGTGTGCTGTTTTTGCAGTAATTTTTAGGGAATGGAGGAGCGTGCATTTAATATGCAGACTGATAGCAAGGAAACAAATAGAATTTTAAAGTATTGGGACATGAGAAAATAATGGACTGGCTACTTTAAAAAGACAATTTCTATATAGGCATACTTAGTATTACATAAATACATTAACTTTCTTGACCTTCATTCAAAATCATCCACTTCAGTGCCATTTCCTTTTCAGAATAGTACGAAGACTTCACAGGTAAAATAAGGATTCATAAATTTAGCATCTTACAGAATATCTTCACTTGGCCGTATTGGGACATCTGCCCTCACATCTGTCTGTCCAGAAAAATGTGCTAAGCAGCTTGTACCAAAACCACAGGCACTGGAAAGATTTTGTATTCTCAGAATGACTTCATTAAAGTTGTAAGGAAAGTCTTTACTCTTGCATTTTAGGCTCATTAAAATATAATGCAGTATGCATTTTTGCTATTGCAATTAATTTAACATCAGAAAGAGTACAGGATCGGGGTGAATAAGTATGTAAACTGGACTAGTTATATCACTTTCCTTGTTTTCCTTTTGGTATATATATGTGCATTTCATAATTTCTCTACTTCCCCTGTTTGTTTAAAAAGTAGAACTTGATAAGAATACTCTCATACTTGCTTCTTTCTTTTTATTTCTATTTCGATAAAATGCTGTATGTTTTTCAAGGAGGTGAGACTGAAGCATTTGACAGAATAGAAATAATTTTTATTCATTGTCCTTTTAAGGGAATGAGAAATGGTGTTGCTTTGCTAATCATGTGGTAATTCAGAGTTGAAGGGCCCACTGGAGGTTACACAAGGTAAAGTTGTCTTGCTGGTCCAAGCAAGGCCAGCTTTGTAGTTAGGTCTGGTTTCTCAAGGCCTTGCCCAGTTGAGTTTTCAAAACCTCCAAGGTCACAGATTGAACAGCTGCTCTCCTTAATCTACCCAGCAACCAAAACCTGAAACAGAGCAGGGCTGCTTTACAGCAGAAAGGCTAATGTTGCATCAGAGGTTCTGGTTTGGCATACACGTGTTCACCAGGTCTGATCCTCTGTATTTGATGAAAAACCCTTAGCAAGCATGCTATTCAAAAGAATGTGGCGATCAGCTGCTCCACTTGGGGTTGCACATCCCAAGTCACAAAAGCCTGCTGTGACAAAATTGGGATTTCTAAGAACCATGGCCATCCCACCCCCTGCCACTCCCAGTTTCATGAAGTGCTGCAGAATCAGACTACCAGTGCTGTGGTAGCTGTGCATGTTATAAATGAAACACCAAGGTGATCCTAGAAAGCTGAATGTATTCCATTATGAGCAATGCAGCAAAGCAAAGCAATTCTTACCAAACTGAACTAGAGAAAAGCCACATTTGGTATCCCCAAAAGACAGCAAATTTTGGCTATTATTTCCCCATGTTTTTATTTTCCCCCGTGTATTTATTTGAGAGAACAAATAAATGTCTTTAAATAAACTTGAGAATAACAAAAGGATGTTGTTCTCAGATGGTCTGCAGCATTCTGCTTTCTGAATGAGAACTAAAGTGTTAGTGCCCTTCCTCAATAAAGAATTAATGTGTTTCTGTGAACTGCAACATCACAAAATCAATTTATAATGTGTAGTGGGAAAAAAAAAAATAAGGCAAACACAGAAACAGCTTCTGTCTTCCTGGTGTATTTTTGTGCAGTATTTTGGATTTTCTTTTTATATGTTTTATAGCAGTTATAGAGACTTGAAACATATACAGAGACCATATGTTCAAAAATGCATTCAAATATGCATTTGAAAGCATGCAGACTTTATATTATCCTAAACTGATTTCTGTTCCACATTAGGTCAATTGTGCATATTAGATCTTTTCTGTTATTGCAGTATTTTTTCACAAAAAAAAACACTCTTGGAAGTTAGCATTCTCCTTGCTCTAAAGGTGCAGAAGCCACCCAGAGCCAGGTAGCAAAACTGCTGCAAGACAAGGAATCAGGCTTACAACTTGGGCTTTTCCCACTTCTGTGCTTGTTCCTCTGGAATTTTGTGCAGCCCTGTGAGACTTGTCTGCCTTCTCTCTTTCAGCAAGTCCCTAATGCTCACAAGGACTGGGTTTGTGCTCTTGGCCTGGTGCCCGGTGTGCCGGTTCTGCTCAGCGGCTGCAGGGGAGGCACCCTCAAGCTCTGGAACGTGGATACCTTTGCACCCATTGGGGAGATGAAGGGACATGACAGCCCTATAAATGCCATCTGCACCAACTCCAGCCAGATTTTTACAGCAGCAGAGTGAGTTCTTCTCCATGAATCTTTCTTTTCTGTGTCCCCTGCTAGAATTCTGTCCATGCACATGTGTGTAGGACATGTGTAACTCACTTCATAGAAAGCACCAGGAGACCTTGTCCACTCCATGCCCCTCAGTCCTAATATCTACCACAGCCATCCCAAAGTGGGGTGCTTGCACCCCAGAGGATGCACAACATGACCCAGTGGGGTGCTGGAATAAATTATTAGAATCCAGTGGTTTGTGTATACAATTAATAAATATACACAGCAGTGTGGGCTTAAAAAAATTTTAGTGGTAGGGGGTGCATGATCAAAACAATTTGGAGACCGCTGATCCTACAGGATGTCAGGGAGAATTTGGCAGTACTTGAGAACTTTATAAGCTTATCTCTACAGCTGAACTCTTTCCTGCCAGGACTCATTCCTTACCTGTGCAAATTCTCCTGAAAGCCATGGCACATGGCAGTTTGTTTGTGGTTGGTTTGTTTTTAAGTGCTGGCATACAGCAGAAGCTTTGCAAGCCATGCTACTGTCCTGTAAACACCTTGATTTGAATATTTGTCTGCTCAGTAAAAGTGAGCAAAGTGAGGGACTGAAATCTCAGGGGAAATGACCAAGAAAAGTACCTTGTTATGGAGAATATTCAGGGAACGGCAACAGGGCCTCTTTGTGGTGGTCTGAGCACAGGAGCTGTGAAAGCTGACGTGTTACATTCTTGTGCCAATTGTGGAAGCTTCTGGCCTTCTGAATTACAAACAGGTCTTTCTGAATCATAGCAGGATTTCAAAGTTGCCAAGTTTTCATATTTGGTGGTCAGGTTTTATGTTTGAGCACTAATAGGTAGGGGTAGAGATGTCAAAACTTCTGTCTCTGTTTGCCTAAAAATTATGAATCCATTTAGAACATAGAAGCATCTGAAATTCATTATTTTTTGTAAGAAAATAATTTTAGTCTTTTGGTGTTTCTAGCAGTGGGCTTAAAAAAATTTAGATGGTTCCTAACAATTTACAGTGGAATGAAGGCACAAGTCAGAAAATACTTTTAACTGTCACAAAGTCTGCTCTGTCTGCTGGTTTCTTTTGAGGGGGTTGTGAGGAACACAGGAAACAATGTTGGCTAGGCACTCAAGTTAATGAGAAATTCATAACTTCCCTTTCATGGAATAAATTGATATTTAACAAGACTAACTCTTTATTTTACTTCTAAATTATAAAAGAGTTTTCTAACACATTTTAGGTGTTATTTTATTTACACATAATTTAAAATTGTGTAAATAATGATTTTTTTCCAAAAGTAAGAACCAGCTCGCTATCTAGCACCTTGCAAATGGGTTTAGGTTTGTTGAGTATTTTTTGTTGGAGAGCTGGGGCTTCATATTGTCTTGTGGTTTTGTGCTTGTTATACTTTTTTTATTTTTTACTTTTTCTTATGATAGACAGACACCTCTTTCCTTAAGCATAAAGTCTTCATACATTCTTAGATGGCTAAAGGTCATAGCCAGTGCTGTGATAAGGTTAGGGAGTCTTCAGTGTTGTACATGTTAAATTACGAAGTCTCATGGTGGTGGAGACTCCCTGCATGTCCAGTAGAGCTGTTATTTTGCCAACAATACCTTTCTGAAAAAGACACTCAAGCTTTTAAGGAAGCATCCCCTGCCCCCCCTTGGCCCTCTCTCCCTCCCCAGTGTTATCACAGTGCTCTAATACTGCTCTGTTTTGGTTTTCAGTGATCGCACTGTGAGGATCTGGAAAGCTCGAAATACAATAGATGGACAGATCTCAGATACAGGAGATGCAAGTGAAGATCTTGCCAGTAATTGAAATTACAGGGGATTAAGGAATACATTGATCAATTTGAGGTGCACTCTATGCAGTTTTCTGCATGTCTATTAGTTAATCACTGCTGACTGGAATGGACTGAAAATGTGTGAACTCTTCACTAGACCTGCTGTCCTTAAAATATGTACTGTATTTACTGACCTCTTGGTAACATGCTTGAGTCTCAACAGTCACATGTATCTCTATCTATTATGGCTGAATTTGTGTGCATATGTAATACTTGCAGTTTAAATTAACTGGAATTCAGTCTTCTCTAATGACCATCTCAAAATAATAATCTGAAATATATAACAAAAGTGCTCTGCTGTATTTCACTCACAAGTATGATCAGCTGTTTTGCATTTTAGGGTAACAGGGGAAGGACTGTGTCCCAGGAATAAGCTTTTGATTATGAGAGACAGTTCTAAGATTTTAAAGGTCATTTACACTGTTGTTAGGAAAGTGGAGTGAATAATAGATGGAAAGAAGCTGTTAATGATACATCTACCTGACATGGCTGTATCCTGCTAACAGCAAATGCCATATGATTTGTGTGTTGATAGCATATAATCTGTGTTGACCAAAGTTGTGCAGCTGTGTATACTCTGTGCTCAGGACTAGAACTCAAGTGCTCACAAATGGCTGTGTTTTATTTGTGTTTTGCCTATGTTCTGCAATGACTAGATGTTCATAATGTCATGATAAATATATCTTAATCTATTTTTCTTACAGATTTCTTTCTGTCATCTCACATTTTCTTTTTTTAAGCAAATTCTTTCCGTTTTATCTAATTTTATATGCTGCTAAATGTATTTTAAATACACTGTTTTGCAAACCTTGGCAGTTACTTTGAGAACTGAACCACGCTTATTGGGAAAAGCTATGTAAATAGATGGTTGTATAAAGAAAATATCTTATCTTGTGCCTGTATGACTTTTAAAGCCCTTGGAACCTGGATATTGAGGGAGGATATATAATTTACCCAACTGCTCTGAATATTAATTTGTAAATTCTGTAAATTTTAAAATTTTAGCTTGTGTAGGTAACAAATAAAGATGTGAATGTCAACTTCTTTTTTGCCTTGTCCATCATACTTCCTTATAAAAAATTCACTTCCTTTGCAAAGGTGTTGAATATAAAAGCCACGATTTTACACAGTGCAGTAGAGTTGCTTGTTGAGTACTACAGCCCATATATCCCATTGTATCCCATGTCTGTCTTCTCCTTGGCCATTATTTGTGTTTGTATAGTATTTAGGAACCCTAGGGGGATTCCCTCACACTTAATACAGTACAGAAATAAAATGGAGCAAGTGACTCCTGTTCCTAGGAGATGACACTTCCCTTACCTTATTGCATATGGTCTGTCAAACAAGGAAAAGTGCTGATGCCTCTTACTGATCTTGGAGGAATTACTTCCTTCTCTGCTCAGCTTGAAAGGAGATGAAAATACTGCTTGCAATTTGAGGTTCCCAATGTATTCCAAGTTTTGATAGAAATGGATCATGAATTCTATATATTGTTAAAAAACAATGTATAAATTAGATAAAATAAGCAGCGGCACTACCACTTAGTATTTGTCTATCACGCTTCTTAGCTACTCAAAGGGTATACACACAAATTATTTGGGACTATACGACAACCTTAAGCATAGTCCAGTGGAGAGTGGATTTACATGCAAGATTCACATGAGAGGCTTTTTGTGCGTGGTGGGGGATCCCCGTTCCCCTTGGCCCAGCAGATGTTATGCCGAGCTACACAAATGATACCAAGAGCTTGGTGACCCCTGCTTTTGGGGCTGAAGACTCATGGCTGTGTGTGCAAGATTCATGTGAATATTGTGTTTTGCAACGGCAGGACAAAACCCCTTGCAGACCTGGGAAAAGCTTCCCCTTGTCCAGCTGCTCACCACATGGGGCTGTGTGGCCCTGGCCTGAGCTGCAGATGTTCCTCTCCAGTGATACCTGGCAATGCATTTATTTTGTTTGGCTTATCTCCTGATAGGCACCAATGTTACATAATGTATTCATAAAAATACTTTGGTTTAATTTTTTTCCTTCCAGAAAGATATTCCACTTAAACCAAGTCTTACTATAGAACAAAGCTTTCACACTTTTGCTCTGAAAGTTCTTGCCATCAAGTAATTGGAAGAAAAATGTCATTTTGTAAAGGTCACAGTATCACTGTCTTGTTTTAATGTTTGTTTTTCTACAAATTTCATCTGTGCTGTAAACCCATCTATGTGACAAAAGCTAATATGAAATCAGAAAAAGGTAAGCACTGGACTCCCACTGTCTGAACATGTTTGTGACAAAAAAAACCCAAAGTGGTTCCTGAAAAATTAATTTTCTAAGAAGTCATGGAAAAATCACGTTTTCCTCTCAAAGTTGGAATCCAGAGGCTGAACAAAGTGTGTGGAAAAATTAGACTGTATCTCACCTTATCTGCTTAGATACAGGCAAGGTCATGTGTTAGAAATAATCTCATCAATGATATGAGTGCTGAGAACCTATTTGCAGTGTTTCTGATTGTGTATCAGAACAAGTGCTTATCGTGCCCCTGCCCTGTATAAAAGGCTTCAGAGTGCCTGCAGTCCTGCCTCCTTCAGCCATGGCAAGGATGAGGAGCCTGTGGTTCTTGGCTGTTGTGCTCGCAGGTAAGAACACCAATTCACATTTTGTCCTAGGCTTCAAAAGCAAAATATAAATGTGCTGACGATAGAAGAGCTTTTAAAAGAGATGACTGTTTTCCATGTAAAAGGAGAGAACAGGCATGGCATTGACTCCACCTGAGGTGGACTGTGGGAGGACAGCAGAGCTGACTTGGTTAGAAATATGTCCCAGTCCTACAGTGTACTCAGCACTTGGGCACCAGCATTGTCAAAGGGGAATCAGTGAGATCATTCAGCTCCTCAAAGTTACCTATTACTTTGTTAGTTTTTTCTGTAATTTTTGCTCCAGCATACCAGAAGTTAATTTGGTCTGGAGCATAATAAAGGGAGAATAAATATTATTTTGTTGCTAGAGGATGGAACCTCTGCAGCAAATGCCTTTGAAATGTACAGCTGAACCTAACTTGTAAATATGAATACTATTAAATTAAAAATGATGTGTTAGTACTTCAGTTACTTCCTTATGCCTTAATTTTAATCTAATTTTTCAAAATTAAAGTGAAGGTTTTTAAAAATCAATGAGGATTATTTTTCACCTGTATGTTTCCAACTGCCTTGCTTTAGTTTCTGTTCCCATGGAAATTATCATGGAAAAGCAGCAAGTAGCTATAGCTGTTGCTATATATTCAACTATACTTGTTTGGATTTCGTCTTCTTTGTATGTTTACAGACATGGACTGTAAATACAGTGAAAATTATGGTTTTAATTTTTTTTTTTTTAAGTAGGGAAGGCAAATGGTATCTTCCCACTTGCTGCTATCACATTTGTACTACAAGACAATCCAGGAATAAGGGATGAACAAGGTTGCAGCCTTATTCAGCTGCTCACACCTACAAGTCCTTGTTTTTAAAATTTGCTGGAAAATGTAAGGTTTGCATTGATGGGAGAAAAAATGGGAGAAATTTCTTGGCTCCTGCTGGGGGAATGTTTTTCCTTTGAACTAGCTTTTTCATTCACAATATCGTTCATAAGAAGTATTCTGAAAGTATTTTACAATACAAATTAGTTCATAAAAGTCTCCCACAAACCTATCCTGTGTAAAATGACACCACATTAATAATCTGCTGTAGTCTGTTCAGTCATAATTTTCTTGATTTCAGCAATGAAAACACTAATGCTGCATTTGATTATCACTAGAAAACACACCCCAGACCAAAATGAAATTTGATCGGTTTCATTATTTTGTGCTCCTAGAAGAAATAATTGCAGGATTGCAGAAGGATGCTCATATTCCTATTATGCTTTGGATGAAAAAGAGAATAAGAATTTATAGTTTTTCTGTGTGATGTATCAGGAGGAGTGAATGCTGGACAGAGAGCAGTCAGCCTGTGGGACCTGACTCTCTGCCCCAGAAAACAGAGGTGGAAACCAATCCTACCTGCCCAGCAGCTGGCGAAGGTTAACAGCCAGATAATTCCTGTTAATTCCAGCCTCTAGAAGATGATAATGAGGCGCTGTGGCAGTGAGCAATGAGCTCTGATGAGCAGCCTGGGAGCATCAGAGCTGAGTGTCAGATGTTTCTGTCTAAAAGGGGCATGAGAGTTTACTCAAAAAAAATGTAGGTGGCACTCCTGCTTTTCTGTGTTCATATCCCCCACTTGGAAATCAATGCTGGCATTCCAGCATGATGGCATTCTCTAGCAAAAATCTACTATTTCATTCTGTAAATTTTCCCAGTACACATAATTACTGCTTGTGCACATCTGCTTGTAGAATTCTTTCTGTGGAGAAGCCCAGACTGCATCAGCAATCGTGTTTTAGGCTTTCAAGCACACAACAGTCCACATGGAAAAAAACAAAACCAAAAGCAGAGGTATTAGTCATTTTGTAGGAAAGGGCAATTAATGTTCAAGTAGATTTAATCTTGATGACATAAATGAACTTCAGAATAAGTATGCTGCCTGTGATATGCCTGCTCTCTCTGGGAATATTTACTAACAGCAGTTTGTGAGCACAGCAGGGACCTGGTCTTGTGGTGCCCCTGCTCTTCGGAGGCTCTCAACCAGAGGGCTTGACTTGCAGCTGTAAAAAGGCAAAATTTAGCACCTTACTAACAGGTTTTTTTTTCATGATGATTCTGAGAATGACTAAGGTATGCCTTTTCTTTTACTGCTGGCATCTTCCCTTTACTCATAACCATACCTGTATTAACACAAATTACAAATACTATTGTAGATACAGTTGTCATATGATACAGAAAAGAAACCTGATATGAACATATACTCACTATTTTTCTGCTGCTTGTCAGAAATTTATATCTCTATCGATAGAAAACAGCTGTGTATAACATAAGGATACAGAAAATGTAACACTTTAATAGATAGCAGTCCTTACTGAAGAATCCCTCCTATTCTGCCAGCCTGCAGTGTTGCTCTCACACCTCACCAGCAGCCTCATTACGCTGCTATTTAACTGTCTATGAGTATTTCAAGCAAGTCGTGCTTCAGCTGAGCACAGGCAGCTCTGAGTGCAGGATAATGCAGACCCACTGCCTGGGCTTGTAACAGAAAGTGGTCGCTGCTCTTGTTCTGTTGTGAGCAGGCAGCTGCTCGGCCCTCACCTCAGTCCAAGGGATAATGGGTACTAGCCCTAAGATGGGGAGAAAGCACATCCAAAGAATAAACAGTAACTGGATTTGGCAGTGCTGTGGGGCTTTTCAGGGCTTTTCCCCTGCTGCTCTGACGGCTTTTCCCCTTGCAGCCCTGGGCGGGTGCCGGGGCTCGGAGCAGGCCGCGCAGTGCCCCGGCGCCGTGGCGGTGCAGAAGCGCATTGACTGCCACCCGCAGCCCGGCGCTTCCCGGGAGGCCTGCGAGGCGCGGGGCTGCGTCTGGTGCTCCGCCGGGGCGTCCAACGCGCCCTGGTGCTTCTTCCCTGAGGACAGTCCCTATGGCTACGCCCGCAGCGGCAGCGCCCAGCAGACGGACAAGGGCTGGAGGTGAGTGCGTGCGGCCCCTCGGGCACTGCCCCACGGCCGCCGCTGCCGCCCCGGGCGCCCTCACGGAAACATCCCCTCAGCTGCTGCAGTGCACATGTGGCAGTGAGGGAAAGGGACTCCTTTCCCTGTGCCATAGAACTGGGGCTTGAGCTCTCACCACATCTCAGGTGAGGAAACCAGGTGCAGGCACAGAGCGCTCCCTCCCACCCTGGGAGCTGTGTCCCGGGAAACCACGAGGTCTCCTTTCTTTGGTGGCCTTTGTTTTATCCCCTAACATCCAGGAGGGCCTAACCTGACCACAGGGATTATTTCTCTCAGTAAGTCAATGATTTCTTTTTAAAGAGCTGACACAGAGCAGCTGGGTGGTTCTCCTGGCCTGCCCCAGGGTGGTCTCAGGCAGTGATCACTCGTGGTGGGCACCAGCGTGTGTTTCCATGCAGAGTCACGCTGAACAAGCGCCAGGCCTTGTCCCTGTTTGGAAATGACATTTCCCCAATCGTCTTGGAAGTGGAGTTCCAGACAAAGGACAGACTCCGGTTCAGGGTGAGTATTTGGGGGGCTGAAATCATTTAGCCAAAGCAACACGTGCTAAGGAGTGAGCTGACCTGTCCCCTGCTCGCCTTGCTTTAGCTCTACGACCCCAACAAGCAGCGGTTTGAAGTCCCACTCAAGATCGATGGCCCCGGGGTTACCGCTGAAGAGGCCAACTATGAGGTGGAGTTCTCGGATGATTCCTCACGCTTCAGGATCAAGAGGAAAAGCACTGGCACCGTGCTGTGAGTACTACACATGATTCATCTTGCTTTTTGTAAAAGTTAGGTGTGATGGGGTGAGCACTGCTTACACCCTGTTGCTTGGGTCTGTGGGACAAGGGGTCAAAAGATGTGGTGTAAATGCAGATTTATGCCTTGTCCTTGAAGGACTTTCATTTTAAACAGGGTTATGTGCTTGTATAACAGACAATTATCTATGTGCGTGTATAAAAGTTTATTCAGTAAGTCAAAAAACTTCTGAGGCTACAATTCATGGCTTGGGATGCTGGTAAACTCAACTCATCAAAGCACTGAGCTAAGATTTCTGAAATTTGAGGTGTCAGGAACTAAGCACCAGATCTCCTGACACTCTTCAGCAGGCAGGTCTAGGAAGCTCCAAGCAATGGAGGCTGTCAGCCTTTAATTTCCACTGATGACAGTCAATGGCACTGGCTCTAGCTTTTCCCTCTGGAAAAATACCATTTGTTTTCTCAAGCTAGAACTGTAAATTTAACTTCAGCAAAAACTCCTCTCACTAACAAATGTCACCAGTTTCATAATTTTCCTTTTCCTTGGCTTCCATCAACACATCTCTAGTGCATAATGCTACTTAGAAAGAGAGTGCCAATCAAGGTGCATTCCTGCCAGCTGCTTTTGGGAATGCAGCAGTGAGAAATTTAAGGATGGCTTAACATGAGTGATGCAAATAAGACAGTACAGCCTCTAGAATGGTCTGCAGATGGAGCCATCATGCTGGGTTTTTAATGAGTTGACCATCCTTTTGAACTACAGTCTCATGGCATCTCTTGATACATGTCACAGTGAATTCTGTAAAGTCTTATTTATGCAGGCTGTTTTAAATGAATATATTATGCACTATTCTGATAACAAAAATAATTTAATTTCTCATTAGACTTAATAGCTCTGTGTAAACAGTGGGCTTTTGTTAAAGGCCCAGTTTTCTTCTTCTTTTTGGAAAGGCTTATTAATTGGAATGCTGATGTAAGTGGTGAATGCATAAAAAAATGCCTGGCTTATGACCCATTCTCATTCAGCTGTCCTCACCTTCACCCAGACCCCAAGGGTTTAGCCTGGGTTGATCAAACTTGAGATGTCCCAGCTAAGGGAAGGGGCCTGCCATGGGGCAGACACAGGGTCTGCCAAAGGCACAACTCCAGTGACAGGCAGAAGAACACAAGTCAGTCCCCACTGAGCAGGTTTCCAGGAGGGCACATTCAGTGCCCTGTTGTGGGCCTGGGGAAGCCTCTTCCATTTCCCTCCGTCTCTTTGTGCACCAAGGCCCGTGCCCAGCAGCAGCAGCGGTGTGGGCTGCAGCAGTGCTGTGCTGCAGAGCCCAGGGAGGCAGAGGGCAGCCTTGGTTTGCAGCACTGGCACAGCATCAGCAGGGATGCTCTGCTCTCCAGCATCCCCATGGGAAATTGTACACTGCCTCCAGGCAGGTAAAGGAGTGCTCCAGAAACCTAACCAAGCCCAAAAAGAGGAAATTGTGGGTGAATATAACACACAAATAATACACTTCTATCCTGCGAGCAATGGCAAGGCTGCTCCCAAAATATTGTCACCAGCAGAGACACAGGATTTTGTGTACAGAGGGAAATCATATGTTCCTTGGAACTCTTGTTTTGTGTGAAATGGCACAGCCAGTACTGTAGTCTAAAGGATCCTGTCAGGGAGCCATTCCTGTCACAGCTGAATGATATTTAGTTTAGTTGTATTCCCTGTGTGAGGAGCAAAAATGCTTCCCCTTCATTTGTTTGCCTGTCCATCCTGTCAGAGTGAGGAAATGCAGGTACTCAGAGATAGCTCCACAGCCTATCTTAGAGGGATTTGCAATCTCCTTAGCTACCAAAAGAGCTGTGCAGATGGAATCTTTCAAAACAGGAAAGCAGGTTATATATTCTGGCCTAAAATCTATGGTTGGCTGCATTTACTTTACTGGGAAGGATGAGCCCTCAGCAATCAGCATTATAGGAACATTCCCATCAGTGGCTGCACTTGACTGGCTGGGTCCAGGGTGCACCGGTGGCATCTGGCAGGTGAAGTAGATTTTCATGTTAGTTCAGCCTGCACAAAGGCAGGTTTGAATGCTAAAACTGAAATCTTTTCCTTTGGGCTTCCTTCAGAAGTGGGAGCATCTGCTCCAGGGCACCCGGGCACCAAGCTGCACAGCTGGTGGTGTCTGTGCCTGGGCCAGGTTAGGGCAGGTTGTGTGGGGGAGTGTCCCTGAGAACCAGGCAAGTGCCTGACACCTGGAGGGACTTTAGCCTCCTATTTTGAGATGTGAACAGCCATGGCCTTACTATCTCAATTAAGAGCTGAATCAATTGTTGATTTCCATATGCATACAAACACTGCTCAGAACAGTTGATGTGGGCAAATAAAACCTCTTCAACAGCTGCTGTAGTTGCACTCCGCAGGTGTGGGTGGATAATAACTTGTGTCAGCACCAAACCAGGTCACGGTTCTCTTCTGGACCTTTTAAATATCTCTTAGGAAAACTTTCCCATAGTAAAGCAATCCCAGATCCTCAGAAATCTGTTTTTCCTTATGCTTCTTATCCCTTGCTAGCAGAGCCATGCTGCTGATGACCTACCTCCCAAGAAAGCCTTAATTCCTTTCTCATGCCCAGCATGCCCTGGCACAGCTGACAGTCCACCTGGGAAGGAAGCAGCCTGTCCCAAGCAGAAACACAGTGTAGGTTTGGGTTGCTGTTTCAAAGCCCACACCTGTATTTCCCTACCCTCATTTCCGAGCTGCAGCCTGTCCTGCCATTCGTGCCAGCAGTGGGGTGTCAGGCTCCTGCCTGTCTGCTTGATAGAAAACCCCATCCCTGCTCTGGCACTCCTGTGCAGAAAGCCTCCTCCTTGTGAGGAATGATTTCATTCCACTTGGAAATGCTGCAGGGGAGAGGCAGAGGAGGCTTTGCATGTGCTTTACGGGCGTTTCTCATGCTCACTGCATGCAGGGAGACGTAGCTGAGCTACCCAAGGAGGGCAGGACAAACTCAGGCTCCATGTAATCACAATAACAGGGGAAAGGAATAAACTGTGTGAGGGGAGAGACATTAACAGCTGATTGCAAACCTCAAGCAGAGCCAGGAGCAAGAATAAAAGGCCAAGTCCTGCTACATTTTCAGTTTGCTCCAAGCTAATCAGTTGACAGCTGCTGCTTTGCCTGCATGGGGCGAAAATCAGACAGAGTCATGTAGGGAGATGATCCAGGCGCTGCTGGGACCAGGAGCTCTTGGGCCGCCTCCCTTTGTCGTCCCAGTAATGCCTCTTGGCTTATTCCTCCTTACTTTTCTCCTTCTCATCCATTGCTGTCCTGTTCTCTGTCCCATCCCATCCTGCCTCCTTCTGCTCTGCTTTTCTCCCTCTCCAAGGCTCCTGCTGTTTTGCCACTAGCCAGGGATGGTCGTTTTCTGTGCCAGTAGCTATCCAAAGCCATGGGGGTAAAGAGGTGCCATGTCCACACATTCACTAGGGAGATGGCAAGGGGATCAGATGAGACACAGCAAAGCTTCTGCTCCTGTCCAGATGTCAGGTTTTTGTGTTTTTCATGAGAAAACTAGACACCTGCATCTGATTTAAGGCTGCAAGTCACAGTTGTGAACTATGAGGGACAGGGACTAGGGCATGAATCTCCTGGGCCAGGGAAGAAGCTCCTAATCTACCATAATTGCTGGGCAGTAGAGGCTGCAGGGAGCTTCTTTTTACTCCCGTCGTGCTTGGAAAATAACTGGGCAAAATTGCTGTGGTCAGTGAAAAAATGTTTTGTCAAAAGATTTGCTTTAGTTTAGTAAATCCTTGCTTAGGATATCCTGGTTGATCTTGCAGCTCTAATGGAAAACTGTCCTATTGCTGGCCAGGGCCCTACATTAGTAAAAACAGGAGAGAAACTCCTGTGTTGTAATAAGGCAGGTGAGCAAGGTAAACAGCCCGTGAGTTGTCTGTGGCACACACTCAGGTTCAGTGCTGTTCTCCTTGCTGCTCCGCCACACTAACAGCAACTGCTGGAGGAGGCAGTATCAAGTGAGAGCATGAAGGCTCCAAGAAAGCGGAGATTTTCTTAGGAACAGAGAGTGAAAGGCTGGGAAGTGATAAATAACAAACACATGCTTGTTTTGCAGTGTGTGATTTCTCTGTGGGACTCATTGCCCCAGGGCAGCAATGGCACAGGAGGCCTAGCAGGATACACATTCAGGCATAATAAAAATATCATCTGTAGGAAAATAAAACCCCCAAATACTTTTGTCTCCATGCTTCACAACATCAGTTAATTCTATGAAAACAGCCAGAAACTTCCTCTGTAAGCAGATTATTGCAAGACTGGCTAAGAGTGACATCTTCTGCCTTCCTTTGTGATTTGTGATATCTGGCCTGGGCCATTGCTGGAGACAGGCTGCAGAGGGATGGACAACTGATTTGATTCTCCGCTTTAATTTCCTGACTTTTCATTCATGATGTCACAAAAATAATGGAAGGTAGAACATTTTTTTTACAAGTCAGATAGGGACTGCTTTCTAATGAGCATTTGGAATACTTTGCTATTGCACTTGGGAATATACTGCACAAACAACCAAAAGGTAATCAAGATTTTCCCTAATTTCCAAAAGGGCTGCTGTAGAGTTCAGCTGCCTTTTTTTATTTTTAGCACAGACACCACTTACCACGAAGGTGTTTTTACCTAGGCAAGGGTATTAGAATGATTTATAATGCAATTGTCATAACTGCGGTTTTGCCGAAAGCAAGGGGAGGAAATTGTATGCATCATGGGTAGAATGGGTTTGTTCCTACTTTGTAAGAGCCATTATTTTAGTCTTCTAATCATTAAGATTTCTGTTACCTAGGCAAGAAATATTGTAGGTTTATCACTTACCCAAGTGTTTTTCAAAGCAAAAATGAAGCATTGTATATCCAAGGAGTTATAGGACATTTCCTGACATCACAACAATGAATACAGTAGAAGTAGAGCAGAAATGTGTCAATAACTGTAAATATACTCTGCACTTCTTTTTTTTTATATAAATGCCATGTTTGTGGAAAATTTGTTGATTACTCCCCCTGATTTTCTCCACCTACTTGACAAATCACCTTTAAAGTAAGATAAACATATAAAAAATCAGTCTTGGTGAACCTTCTGCCCCCCAGTGGTGTCCAAAGACTTATGGCTATTAAGGAGTACAACTGTTGTGAAACAGTGTTATGGTTTAACCCCAGCCAGCAGCCAAGCACCCCACAACTGCTTGCTCACTCCTGCCTGAAAGATGGAGAGATTGGAAGGGTAAAAGTGAGAAAACTCATGGGTTGAGACAAGAACAGTTTAATAACAGGAAAAAAATTGTACTAGTAGTAGTAGCAATAATATTATTAATAATAATAATGTAATTAAAAGAAAATAACAGAAAAAAAAAAAACCAAGAAAGAAAAGTGATGTAAATGGCAACAATTACTCTCCACCATCTGACTGATGCCTTCCAGTCCCTGAGCAGCAGTCTCCCAGCCAACCTTCCTGCTAGTATTAATGCTCAGCATGATGCCATATAGTATGGGATATCCCTTGAGGCCAACTATCCCAGCTGTGTCCCCTCCCTGCTACTTGTGCACTCCCAGCCTCCTTGCTGGTGGGGTAGTGTAAGGAGCAGCAAAGCCCTGTTGTGCTCTGTTAAGAACTGCTTAGCAGTAACTAAAGCATCTCTGAATTATCAACAGCTTCCAGCGCAAATCCAGAACATCACTCCATACCAGCTACTATGAAGAAGGTTAACTCCAGCCAAAACCAGCAGTCAGCGGAAGTATTTTTAGTAATCTGAGATCTGGACTCCTTAGGTGATGCTCCTCAGCAGCTCGAGTGTGTTGAGTCAATCAGTATATTTGAGGTTCATTTGAGAATAGGGTATGTACTCCTTCCTCCCTAAGGTGCTTTAGTACTTTATGAGCAGCCTGTGCATACTGTGGTAGGCCAGGCCCTCTGGAAGGATGGACCCAGCTTTGCCAGGAGGCTTAGACCCCCTTTTTGGATAGCTGTGGGAAGTTACAACTAAATTTGCACACAGATAATATACAGGGTGGTCTGGAGGCCAAGAAAAGCAGATATTATAGTGGACATTTTCTCCAAGGAACAGAGTGGACCAGTTGTTTACAACTTCAGTTAACAAGCTCAGTTCTCCAGGATTCCTTGCAACAAGAAGGAAAAAAAAAAAAGACCAAACCTCTCTCAACGTAAAGTTATTTTTGAATGTCCAGATAATGCACGATGTCTATCCTGTTTCCCAAATCTCTTAATTCCAGTGGTTTTGTAAGACCACCTTCAGAAGTGCCACCAGCTGGTTGCTCACGGCAGGTGAATCAGTGCTTTGAGCCATGGCACACACTGCAGTCATTGGCCTGCAATAAACCTCAACAGAGTCGTTGTTCAAAGAGGTAAATCGTCATGTCCAGTTTGTATTACAAAGGACTGATGATTGCACTCCTGAAAAGAATCTTGTACAGCCTTTTAGTCATCCCCCTCAAACACTGTGACAATGTTAGTTATGAACTACACCTTCAACATGAGCAGGATGTTTTATCTATCTGGCCACGCACCTTCCTTTAATACTACTTCCTTGGTCCACTCCAGTTTTGTTTCATCCTGACAGCCAGTGGCTTGACTGCTGGGTGTGAGACTAGTTCCCTTGCTGGCCAAAAGTGTAAATTTTTACAGAGCCCTTTTCAATCTGAGTGATTTTTTTTTTCCTGATAAGAGGTTAAAAATTAGAGAAGTTTACTCTTTAGTATAGTGCACCATGTATGGAAGAAAAGAGCAGCTTTTATCAATCAGACTCCTTGGACAGGGGGTAGCTGATTGTTCAAAGACAATGGGCCAGGCAGATGTGTGTGGGGGCTGGTTTGTATTTCCATAGGCAGGAGTGTTCCTACCACAGACACACTAACAGCTTAAGACTTTCATCAGTAAATGTGACTGCAGCTATTACCTCTTGTGCAAAAAAGAAGGGTACTTGTCTTCACAGACTTTGCCTTGTCTAACTTCTAGCAGAGGTTGCATTTTTGAAAGTGAGCAACTGTTCAGCTTCAGTTATGTTTTTACATTTTTTAGACCCCTTCTTTTGTCCATGACAGTGGTTTTATGGTTCATCGGCCTTTTGGAGGAGAACCATGCAAATTGCTGCAAATATGATGTCATTTTGTGCTCCCTCCTGTTTTGTTCCTTCTATCTGCTTTAAACCAGCAGGAAGGAAGGTAGGAGAAATATGACATTTTCTTTTATTGTATGCAAGAGTTTAAGGAATGGCATTTTTTTTTTTCATTTAAATGATTGCTTCTTGCCAACATCACATGAGCAAACTCATAAAGTAGCAAGACAGCTACCATGGTGTGCTGAGAGCACAAGGACTTGGGAAGTTGCTTGGGGGTGAAGGCAGAGAATAGTGCCAGGGGAAAACCTGTTCATGCTTTCCTTCAGATGGAGAGGACATAATGATGCCCAGAAAAAAAAAAGACAGTCATTACTAGCCTTTTTATGTCATGGTTGATGCTATATTTAGCACATAGCTATGCTGGCATGCGAGGTCTAGGGCAAGACAAGGCTGATGGGGAGCTGTGCTGGTGGGGGTGGCAGCCCCCAGGGAGCTGAGCCATGGAGGGGTGCAGAGCAGGGCACTGTTATGGCAATGTCATGCAGAGGTAGAGTTGCCTGAAGGAATGCATGAGTCATAAACCAGTTTCTCCACAGCATGTAAAGAGATCTTGAGGCAGAGGGCCTGTTCCTAGGGTTGTTATTTGCACCACCCCAGTGACCCTCCTGGTCAGGGAGGGGACTTTCTGAGCTGAAGTAATATTTTAATGAAGTAATACTTTAATGCTATGATAACACTAAGAGTTCTCATGATGGGAAATGTCCATGCTATAATGTGGGTACCACAAATGTACAAAGCCTCATGTCCTCTGAACAGACATCATGGGGAGAGCTCAATGACTTAGGACAGATATTTAAACTGTTTCTAAAGCATTTTCCCTCTGGCATAGTTTGAGATTTTCTTAACCCTGTGGTCTGCTCAGAGCAGTGACCCTTCTTGTCTTGGCACAGAGCAGAGCTGTGTGACGTTTTCCTTTGGGCAGGAATATAGCTCCAGAACCTATCCCTATCCCTGCACAGCAACTGCTTCTTGCAGAAAGGCCTCTATTTGTCAAGGACTGGGTCTAATTCTCAGGGATGTTTTGCGTGCATAACCCTCCTGAAAGAAAACAATTTTATTCAGTACTGCATGTAGGTGGAGATGATGGAAAGGAGGAAGGGAGGGGCTCCTGCTGGCAAAGAAACCAAATCAAGAGTTATATGCAAATTCTTACTTCTTCTATTTGTAAGAAAGGACAATTAGACTTTTAAAAAACACAGAGATCCTTTAGTACCTGTGTGTGACTTTGGATTTGTCTAGGAAAATTTGGGGATAGTTTGTGCCTGAGTCTTGCACGGAGAAGCAAGGTAGTGCCTTAAGCATCCCCATGAGCAGCCATCCTTGCAGCCTCGTGGGGAGAGCCTGCCAGTGTGGTGGGAGCAGTGGTGCCTCCCAGTCCTCCCAGCAGCAGGGACTTGTCCCCAGGCAGGGGTGCTGGTGGCACAGGTGGCAGGCCACTCACCAGAGTGCTCTTCTCATGAGGGCAGAGCTACTCCCCACCAACACAACCCGTCTTCCATTTCTCTGATTTACCAGTCAATTTGATCAACCATTTAATTTCGTCAAAATCATTGACACAGAACATTAAAAGGAGTATTATGCCACTTCTGTGCTCTATGGCTTGGGCTCATTTACTTTAATTAGCTGTAACAAATTCATGGTTAAACAAGGCTGGAGAGGGTGCTATCTAAATGAGCTATTCATGGCATACACATGACCATTAACAAAACACTTCTCCACAGCTTGGCTGTGTTCTCCCCCATCTAACTTGCAGCTCATTATAGCTCTAGAGGTAGGAAACAGAATGTAGCACCTAATTAAAATGTGAGCCTGTGTCCACAGATGATTGAATAGAAATAAATGCATTAAGCTGGTGAGAGAAGCAGGAGAGAGTCATCACAAGGAACACATCTTGTTCAAGCAGAGTCTGGAGAAAACTATACCTCTATTTTAAGGTGCCTGCATGAAGTTGGGAGTATTTGGGTCCTGATACAGCAAACCATTAAAAAAAGCTGATAACATGTCTGTTGGTCTCATTAAGTATTCTGAACTCCACTGTGTAATAACAATTTTTAGCCTTTCACATTGGTTGTCATAGAAATAGCATAAGCAACCACTTATTTTGATAATAAATTTATAGTTTGTCTTCTGTTGTTTTAGTTGCTCTTTTCAAAAATTGTATTGGTGCATTTTCTTTGCACAAGTAGATGAGATATCTTCAACCATTGCAAGACGAATTTAATGTGTTAGGTTAAGCACTTTAGACACATGCATAGATTTTAATGGATTTTTAATACTGTTATTCTCCAAAATATATGAAAAGTGTAAATAGCCCGACATGAACATAAAATAATACCTTCCAAAGAGAAGCCAGCTAATCCTGTCTCCCTCTGTTTGTCACAGGTGGGACAGTCCCCTGGTTGATCTGTTTTTCTCCAACCAGTTCCTTGAGATCACCACCACTGTGCCATCTACTTCTGTGTATGGGTTTGGTGAACATGAGCACCCGACCTTCAAGCACAACATGGACTTCGTTACCTATGGAATGTATGCCAGGGACCAGCCACCAACGGTAATTCACTCTGTGCAACACTTTGTCCTAGTTTGTGTCACCAAAAGGGGGTGGCAAACATGGAATGTCACAAGCTTTGCAGGTATCATCAGTTTTAATTAAAGACTAAGCCACAAATTGTTTTGAGGGAACTTTGAAAGCTTTTATCAGAACCTTTCTCACAGTGCAGTTTTCAGGAAAAAGTATATTGTGTGCCAAGATCCTGGTCAGGAGAGCTTTGCATTTCATGCTTGGATCAATCCCTGTTCATCCAAACAAGCTGGACTCCAGCAGGACTCATTAGATATTTGGCTGAATTGGAGTCAGTGGTTGATGAGTCTGTTTGAACTAGAAAAGTGATTCTTACTCATGTCATTTTGAAGGGTTTAGCAGAATATCAAAAGGTTTAACTAGGAAGGACTAAAACATTCCTTTGTGATAAGGGAGAAAAAAAATACTCTTTTCTGTCAATTTGACTTCACACCAATTTAGATGAAAAAATCCCCAACCTTTCAAAATAAGTCTCTAACTATGAATGAATTTACTTCTTTGTCTGTGCATATGTACCTACCTGACAAAAGCTGTGAAAAATAGCAAAGTCAAGCCATTCTTCATGTGTTGTTTATGTTTCAGTCATTTGCCAACCTCTATGGAGTTCACCCTTTCTACATGTGCGTAGAACCAGACTCCAATGCCCACGGTGTTCTCCTTCTGAACGCCAATGCACAAGGTAAAAAGATATCTGGATTACCTATATGGACTGCATATAGAAATATGATAGATTAGTAAGTAAGAAATACTGTTTTAGTGACTGCTTTTTCAATGTGGTACAAATATGAATGACTGCATGGCTAATTAAGCTTCCAGGACAAATAGATTTTTCAAAGATTTTTCAAAGGGTTTTCAGTAGAATGAATTTTTAACAAGGAATTTGGGCATTTTTGGGCATTTTTAGGCATTTTCAGGGAAAATGCATTCTTAACTTTTTTAATGCAAATAGATGCAAATAGAGGGAACGAAGAAGGTGGAAGAAATTTCCTCTGAGATTGGCATAACAAAAATCAAATCAGTTTAGGTTAGTCCTATATTCTGTGTTTGGAGAATAGTTTTGTATGTTGCCATGGTCACCTTTCTGCATTATTCTAGTGGTATAATTTTGGAAAAGGGGAATCTTCACTTAGTCTATAAAATCAGTTTCCCCTGGCAGGCAATGACTTTCAATAAGATTACAACAGCATAGAGGAACCCTAAACACAAACTTGTTGATCCTCTGTATAAATATGAAACTTAGACAAATGGATCTCTGCAATCTACTCTGTGTGGGTTTCTGTGATGTATTGCTGCACAATGCGGATCTGAAAGCAGAGATTACAGAAACACTGGACAATGGCCTGCCTACCTGCAGGCCCTGTTTGCTCATCCAGTTGTACCCACAATGTGCACGGTAGAGCCCAGCGTGCACAAACTAGGATGGATAGGAAAGACTAGAATATTTCAGTTGGAATGGACATCAAACACACTTGTAGTACAACTGCCTGAACATGTCAAGGCTGAGAAAAAGCTAAACATGTTGTTAAGGCATTGTCCAAATGCCTCTTATATACTGACAGGTTTGGGGCATCAACAACATCTCTAGGAAGCCTGTTCCTGCATTTGTCCACCCTCAGTAAATAAATGCCTCCTAATGTTGAGTCTCAACCTCCCCTGATACATTCTTGACCTGTTCCTGTGTATAGTGCAGAGTTGGTTTGTGCTGAGGGCCTTTTTTCCCCTTTTAGATGTTACTCTGTCTCCAAACCCATCTTTAACTTTCCGTACTATTGGAGGGATCCTCGACTTCTATCTCTTCATGGGACCAACTCCTGAGAATGTGGTTCAGCAATACACTGAGGTCAGTAGAAAAGTGCACATGGAGCAGTGCCTTGTAACACAGTCAGTGTCTGGTAGTATTAGTGGGTAGTGCAGCCAGAGGTTTGTCCTGATCCATTTGTACAAAGCTGCAGCTTCAGATCCATGGGAAAACCGCCGTGTGCTTGAGCATCTGTGAACAGTCTCAGATTGTCACAGGCAGGCTGGGTGTTCAGTGCACATCTCCAGCCTCTCCTGCACTATGCCAGGATGGGATGCACTAAAGGGATGCAATGATTAGAAAGGTATCTGTCCAAGCTACTCCTCTCTGGGTTGTCACAGTTTTATAGTCTTTGCTGTATGACATGACTGCATTTTGACACTGCAGGCCAAGTAAACAAACTAGGCAGAGCACAGATGGGAATGTCTGGGAACTTCACATATGCTGGATTTCAGAGATATTGAATGGACTTTAAAGTCTTCAAGGCTTTATTTGCCAGTAGAATCGTTTGCTGATGTTGGAGCCATCAGGCTGTTTATTACTAATGAAAACCCATATAATTGCATTGGAGAGCATGGATGTATAACACTGCATTTACTGCTGACTCACTGAGTGTAACTACTTGCTATCCAATTGCTGAATGTTTCACAGACACATGCACATGACTGTTTTGGAAATGTACATGCAATTCTTCTCTAGTGAGGACTGTGCAGAAAAAAGTAGCAGATAATATGCTTTTTCTGGTCATCAAATGATGCTTCAACTGTGCCTTTCCACAGAAAATTGCCAGCTCAGATGCAAGCTGTGCATGTAAAGAAATTGGCATCAAACCTAAAGAGTGTGGAGCAAAGCTGGAGTAAGCATGTGAGAAGTGGGGGGGTCACTGTGCAGACCCTGAGGATTAGGCTGCAACTGGAAGGCTGAACAAGGTAGGACATCCCAGAGTCAGGCATTCAGAGCTCACAGCAAGATGTGCATGTGCTCTGCCTTTCCTCATGCCATTCCTCAAAGGGGCCTGAGCTCTCATCTTCAGCAAACATTTTGTCTTTTTTGGCTTTTTAAAGCCTCCATATCCTATGCTTGCCTTCTTTTAAAGTGCCTCTATGGGAACAGAAATACTGTGGTTTAGAGCAAGGGAAAAAGAGGATTTAACCCAGAAGGAAAGTATTTCTGGATTCTGGTTTGGTGAAGGAAGGGATAAAACTTGCTCATGCTGCTGTTTTGGGAAGGCTGGAGCTTCTCTGGGGTGGTGGAGTCTGCTAGACCTTCCTTTTCCAAGGAGAGGTTCAGGTGCTACCTCCCAGAGAGGTGAGAGGTTGATGGTGCTCCTCCATGTCCTGGAGCAGGAGCAACTGCTCTATTGCTTGGAGGTTTCCAGCTCCCTCTGCACATCATCCCCACCCTTTGTCTGCCACGGATTAACCCCAGCTGGCAGCTCAGCCCCACACAGCCACTTGCTCACGCCCCCACAGTGGGGTGGGAGAGAGAACCCAAAGGGTAAAAGTGAGAAAATTCATGGGTTGAGATAAAGACAGTTGAATGGGTAAAGCAAAACTGTGCACACAAGTAAAGCAAAACAAGGAATTCATTCACCAGTTCCCAGGAGCAGGAGGGTGTTTAGACTCCCCCAGGAATCAGGGGAATGGCTGAACATGTGACTGTTACTGGGAAAGACAAATGCCATCACTCTGAATATCCAGCTCCCCTTCCTCTTCCCCCAGATTTATGTGCTGAGTATGAAGCCATTTGATATGGAATATCCCTTGGGTCAGTTGGGCTCAGCTGTCCTGGCTGTGTCCCCTCCCAACTCCTTGTGTACCCCCAGCCTCCTCACTGGTGGTGTGGAGTAAGGGGCAAAGAAGGCCTTGACTCTGTGTAAGCACTGCTCAGCAAAATCAACTATATCCAAAACACAGCCCATTCCAGTTACTATACAGAAAATTAACTATATCCCAGCCCAAACCAGCACACAGGATCTCTGATGCCAGTGCCACAGACCAGCAAGCAGGCTGGGATTTTAACTTATATATGGGTAATAAAGCCAGCGTGGGGGCAGGTAAAGGGGGGAAAAAAGGAAAGCAACTCTCCCCCAGGCTGGAGCTTTGATCCTCATTTCAAGGGAGTTAGTGCTACAGTCTGATGGAAATAAGAGTCATGCCTGCTCCTTTTCAAAGTCTTTTACTGGTGTTTGAAGGCAGCATTTCTGTGGCTTAGCAGGTGGTCAGCATCTGAAAATGAGAGAGTTCTCACTCTCCAGCTGATGGGTAGTGGTAGCTCACTTTCCACCCCTGTCTCTGGGAATGGAGCTGGAGCAAAGAAAACAAGGTAAAGGAGAGCTGTGGGCGTCTCCTAATGAGACATGTCATATGCCAGGACAAAAAAATCCTGTTCTGTATTCTCTGCATTTCTGCTCAACTCTCTAGGGAATCTTAAAGAATGTATGTTAGTAATTTCAATGTGAAATAATAACTTCTTCAGTAAACATCCTGAAATTCCAAGGTCAAAAATGTTACAGTTACCATATGATTAGTCTCTAGGGTAATAATTTGACTTTTATGTACAAGATATGTGGGAAGGTGAAGGAGACAGAAACGACTTAATTTTTCAATTGTCTTTTCTGTCACACTGAGAGGATTTTCCCTGTGCAGTCATTGTCATGCTTTAGGGCAAGAGAAGGGGTAGAAAGGAGAAGTGTGACTGATGTCTGCAAGGCACTGCTCAGCAGCATAGCTCAAGGGTTTGCATTCTCAGCTGTTTGCATGGGTTTCCTCTGGGAATTGGTGTTTTGGGGGCTCCTGGCTGCAGGGGCCCCTGGTTGGACCAGGCTGCACTGCTGCAGAGCTTCTCGGTGGAATAGCACCTGCCTCCCTCCTGAGCAAGTCTGTCCCAGTCACTGCTTTTTGCAGGGGCCACTCATTTTATCTCTCCAGGATGGCCCCACTGGTGTGGCAGGGTGGCCAGGTGCCAGGGGGTGCACAGCTGGTGAGAACAAGGGAGCTGTTTCCAGAGCAAAGTGCTTTACACCTTTCTCAAATGTTTTGTGCCATTGCCTTCAGTGCCACTTCAGTATCTGAGCCACCTCTCTGCCTCTGCTATGCTTGTTTCTGTGGGAGGTTTAGGAGCTTAGCTCTGCTCTGTGCTTTCATGTGGCTCTTTCCAAACCAGTGAGTTAGAACAGCTTTGTAACAAAGCTCTTTATTTGGCCTCTGGAGTGTGCAAGATTTCCCCACACACCTCTCCAGGTTGTCACCACCACCAGGGTGGACCATGGACTCTTGGCCAGAGCTGCTGGGTCCAGGCTATGCCAGGAGCAGGGCTCTTGGCGCTCTGTGTGGTGATCAGCTGCCTTGCCAGAGTCACCAGACTCTCTGCATCCTTGGAGTGAGGACAGGTAACAGCAAAAGCTGTGGTGGCCCTGGATGCCAGCCTGGCCAAGGATATCTGCTTTGAGTGGGCTTCAAGAGTGAGGCAAGGTGTGAGAAGGGAGCAGAGGGTGAATGCTGGCACCTCTGTCCCTCTAGTGTGTGCTGCATGGAGCAGAGATGAGCTGTAGGATGCATCCTGCCAGTGGCACCAGAGTCCTACAGCAGTGGCAGCAGCTATGGGGTATGTGCTGGGCCTGGTCCCATGGGAAGGAGGAGCCTCCAGCCCCATTTTTTGCTCCCTCTCGTCTCTGAGCCCAGCTGTGTGGGGTGTTACTCCTGCCACGTCTAAGGCATCTCAGATTGTCCTGTACAGCTCTCTCTATATGACAGTGATCACATTTTTCTCCTACTGCAGAAGAGGTCTGGTGTGCAGAACAGTTACATAACACAAATCTCACTTTTAACAGCAAACACTTCCATTTGCAGGAGAGTGAGAAAAAGCAGGAACAAGCTAAAGAATTCAAGCTCTGACCTCAGCCTGGCTGAGGCTCTGCAGTCACACCTAATACAAGGCCAACATTGCCAAGACCACTGGTGGCCTTTCAGAACAGACCAACAGTGCACAGCAGTAGTAGACACTCAGGAATGTTAGGGTTCAAAAACAGATATTTAATAGCTCTTGGGTAAAGGCCATTAATTTGTTCTTTTGTCATAAGTCATCCAATAACAAGCTGTGAGCATACTGTAAGTCTTCTGATTCTTCTTGGAGAGAAGACTGGTGGTTGCTTCCTCCTTACAGAAGTGTGGGCTAGTTACAGGTGTAAGGGACCTCAGAGGTCTCTAGTCCACTCTCCTATTGGAGAGGTAACATGGGGAACCTGCTTGTACATAGATCTTATCACAGATGATTCAGTGAATCTTGGAGCTGAGTTCCCCAGGAAGGAATAAACAGCTGATAATTTTTTTTGTGCAGCAAAAACCAAGATTTGAAGACCTTGGCATTGAAAATCCTTAATTTTTTTATATTCCTGAGGTGGTGAGCATCTTCTTTATGGTTCAGCAGCTGCAGGGCCTTTCTTCTTGCTCTCCTAAATCAAAGCTTAGCTTCTGCTAACAGACTTTGAGTGAAGGTTGCCCTCTAACTGACTGGGTGCCCACAGCACTCAGCTGCTTGCCTTAGTCATAGCAGATGAGCTGGATACAGATATGTGGGCCATAGGAGCACCTGTGGAATTTAGCCATTGTGTATTTAGCCATACAGAAACACTAAATCCAGTGCATTAGCCCACTTGGGTTTTATAGTTTTCTCCTATAACTCCTCTTTGAAGAAAGGGAGTTGAAGCAAATACCAAGCTTCAGAAATCATTTTGTGTGGCTAATTAGGGTGTAAGATTAGCAATCTGCATTGTGGGACGTCTCAGCTCCTTTGTGAGCACAGGAAAGAGTACCTCTCTCCAGCCTCTGTGGTATGTAGGCATAACTCGGCATCTGTCTCTCTCTCATCAAAGTCTTTGGTCATAGTGTTAACAGAATAGAATCCTGATTTACTCTATAGAATTTATAACCTAGTACATGTCATTGATGCTTATATTAATATCATTACTTGTCCAATAATCCAACACAGGGAAAATGAATACAGATCACCTGCTCCATAGACATTGATTTTATCTGTTAGATATACTTGTTTCCACTGAACTTCATTCTTACCACAAAGTGTTTCCAGGGTACCTCCTTGATACATCAGCTCTCAGGTGGCTCTGAAAAAAGTGAAAACAAATATACGTAATGCTAAGTTATGTAAACATGGAAAAACTAACAGTGATTTATTAAACATCAGGAGTTATTTAAGAAGCAAGTACAGGAAGAATTCTGGAACAGAAAATAGGATCTTTGTTTTTTTTTTACTGTTTCTGCACTACCATATCTTTGTGCTTTTTGTTTTCCCCTTCATTTTGGATACCACATGTGTTTGCTGTTTCTAGGTTTTCCTCCTTCAGTTCCCCTGCCATAACCCATCTACCTTTTCTGATTCTATGGGAGTCAATTTTGCCAAGCAGGTTTTCTCTGGCTGCTGCACTTTCTGATCATTTGTATGCAGAATGCAATCTATATGAATTAACTAGATCCTAAATATATATCAACTCCAACTTGAGTCTTCAGGTTTGCAAAATTACATTCCTGCCTCTGCTGATCCATCTGTGAGTGGGCACCATATGTCAGTTACTTTATCAGGAAGCTTCAGGGGGATCCATTAGAGAGAGTCCACAGCATAATTAGAAAAAAGAACATTTGTTTTCCCAGCTGCCCTGTTTTCATCCTTCCTCTTCAAATATTCTGCTGGTTTCAATTAAACTCACCATAGATGCACCAGCCTGGTAAACCTAGAGAACTAATTGCTTAAAAAACTTAATATCTTCCTTGCAAGGTAGATATTTTTCTGTTGGTTCAGCTGTAATCCAAAACTCCTCACGGGATGCTGTCACAAAATACTGTCTCACTCTGTGGTCCAGAACGACACAGCCCCATCCCATAAGGGTGAGCAGGTGAACCGCAGCAAACCCCAGTGATGGGGACGTGCCCTTTTGGAAGGGCTCTGACTGACACACCAGTGGCCACAGCTCCACCTCCAGCCCCACTGCTTTCCACCTGCACGTTTGATAGGACAGGGGGGATGAAGCCAGTCCCCATCTAACTCTTGAAATGCATGGCACTGGCAAAGTCCCAGACTGACAATTAGTCAGTCCTCCTGGCAATGTCCTTGCCAGGCAGGAGTGGCCTTGGGGAATCACAGGACCCAGAGCAGAGCTGCTCAGCAGTGCCCACTGCCTCTGCCCAGGCCGGTTCCCCCTTTCCCATTTCCCAGCCTGCTTGGGAGGAGGCAGCAGATGCCATGCAGACATCCTGCCAGGGCACAGGGCTCTGCATTGAGCTGCAGGATTAATATTTATCAGCCAGTTTTCCCTATTTCTCTTGTCCAAGATGAGAAGCCTGTGCACAAAGCATTTTATTTCATTAGGGAGTTCTTTTGTTTTGGTCTGTTTTTTTAACCTTGTTTGTAGAGGTCATTCTCTGTTTCCACTAGAGAAAGCAAGGGCAAAATATGTGTCTGCTTTAGGAGCACAAAATGGTGGGTTCACAAAGCTCATCCTGCAGCCTTTGCTGGTCTAAAACAAGCTCTGCTGCCCCCTCAGATGAATTTATCCTTGACATGGTGACTGTGGATGTGACAGAGAAGAAGACTTCTGAGGCAATGCCCTGAGGCTTGCCATGCTGTGTTGGACACTTTGGTGCTGGCCCACAAGGTGTCTGGGAGATTGTCCTGAGCATTCACACCCCATTCAGCTCTCCACAGAAAACCCCAGCAGAGTTTGAAAGATGGTCTGGATGATCAGATATGTCCAGACACGCTTTCCCAGGTCAGACTCTTCCTAGAGAAAATCCCATAGGAAGGTGTGCCTTCATGCAATGCATCTCCAGAGAGCTTAGCAATGCAATAGACACAGACTGCCAGATGTGCCTTGTTTTATTTATTTAAAGTAGATGGGCTTTAGCTGCCAATATGTGGGTTTTTTTGGTTTTCACTTTTCAGCATAATTACCTTACTATGGATACCCACAAGGAAGTAAAGGAAGAACCATTATTTAACCAAAGGGGGACAATACCTGCAGCTGATTAACAAGTCATGGGTGCTTACTAGCTACTAGATTTTCATGTATTGCCAGCAAAGGTGTTAGAAATAAAAATCAAAGCTTAGCTTCATTGGATTTAACTGAAGTAAGGACTTCAGGAGCTGTCCCCAGAAAACACTGGTGTGTGCTAATGAGACAAAGCCAGACTTCAGCTTATTTGTAGAACAGACACATCGTAATTGCCCACTGCTCATCCCAGGTTACCACAGCAGCTCTCATCGGGGGAAGCAGAGCAGGATGACTTGCTTCCCTCCCTTGCTCTCAATGGACTTTCCTCATGCCATTTACAGATGGATTACATTCAGGCAGTGGAAATCAAATGTTTATAAAATTATATTTAACTCATTACCTTGTGTTTCGGTTGAGAATTTCAGGATCAAACAGTAACTCTGGCCTGGAGGAGGGTTGTCAGTGCCTGGCAGCACAAGGCTGTGGGCCAGCAATAACAGTAGTCAGCCACAAGTAACTGAGTTTCATCAGATTGGTATGTAAATATGATTAAAACTTCAGAGAGCTCAAATGAAGATCAGATTCTTGATAAGTTAGTTCAGCTGCATGTGGCAGGAGAAGTTTGCAAAGCTTATGTTGCTGTGTGTTGTTGGAGATTTGCCTTCTGTTGACCAAGGGGTTTGTGGGCTTGTCGTGGATCAAGTGGCGTGAAGATCCATGCTGGATTTCTGCTGGCATGTGCCCTGTCAGTGAGGGCCCATGCTGCTGTGCAGAGGCTGAGACCACATTTAACATTAGCCTGGCTTTTTTACACCATGTTTCCACTGGGGTGTTCTTGGAAGTGATGCTCAGTGCTGGTGTTGTTGGAGTCTCTGTGAGGGGAAAGGATCCACCAGAAGTGCCAAGCATGCTGGGCTGAGAGCCACTTGGAGAAAGGGATGGGTATTTAATGGGGGTGTGATGCCTGTGCCCTGGTCCTTGTGCCTTAAATGATCTGGAAGCCTCTCCTGGTGTTTCAGAATAACTTCTTTTCCTCTCACCCCTTGTGTTTCTGTATTCCTCATTCCTGCTGCAGGCCATTGGACGCCCCCACATGCCAGCCTACTGGTCTCTGGGATTCCAGCTCTCCCGCTATGGCTATAACAGCCTTGATGCTTTAAAGGCAACTGTTGATCGCATGAAGCACTATGACATCCCATATGTAAGTATGAACCTTTCACTGTGTGCTAATCGTAAAAGTATAATGGAGGGAAAATAATTATCTTACAAAGAGAATTGTAGAATAAAAGAACATTCATAATCTTATGCAGTGGGTTTGCATGTAATATCTTCATAATGCTTAAAAGGACATTTAAGCTGGTCATGACGTTTAGGTGCTGCTCTTGGCTGCATAGCAGGTGATTTTGGTGTGGATTTGCAGTATGAGGTGCTAGCATTTTAAAAACAAATAATGAAAACCAAAGTTCTAAAGCAAGGGGCCTCATAATAATTGGGAGCTGGACAGGACAAATGTAGATCTGAACCAATGTGGTTAATCATACATTCTCCCTTTATTATTTATAAGATGGCAGTTTATATACACTTCAATGTAGTTTACAATTGTGAGAACACTCTCATTGGCAAGCAAACATTGTTTCTCTTTGTCGTAAGGTGGCTAAAGTTTCACACTGCAGACCTATAGTAATTCACACCCAGAAAGCCCATTACTCTGTGCTTACACCTTAACATAATTTCTAACTGCGCCACAGACTAATTTCTAACTGCGCCATAGGCTTCAAAGGCCTCACCGAGGCTCATATCTGAGGCCTAGGCTGGGGTAGCTCAACCTTCATTCCAAATATAAATTGTGTCCTCTCTCTCTCAGAAATTCTGCTACAAACTTCTGATGCAGATCACTCCAAAATAGTTGCTAAACTAGGACTTCTGCATTTTCTTGTAGTCCACTGCTAGGATGCAATTACATTCTCAGGTTTCATTGCATACGTTAGTTGCCTTTTAGAAATACCATTGGCTACATTCTGATTTCTGTATCAAATACTTCAGTCATAGAATCATAGAATCGTTGGAATTGGAAGGGACCACTAAAGGCCATCTAATCCACCCCCCCTGAAATGAGCAGGAGCATCTTCAACTAAATCAGGTTTCTCAAAGTCCCATCCAACTTAATCTTGAAAGTTTCTAGGGATGGGGCATTTACCATCTACCTGTGTACTTTTTACACCTCATTGTAAAAAATTCCTTCCTTATACCTAGTCTGAATCTGCCCTCCTTTAGTTTACAACCATCACCCCTTGTCCTATTGCTATAGACCCTACAAAAGGGTCTGACTCCATCTTTCTTGTAAGCCCCGTTTAGGTATTTAAGGCTTCAGTAAGTTCTCCCTGGAGCCTTCCCTCCTCCAGGCTGAACAGCCCTAACTCTCTCAGCCTGTCCTCATAGCAGAGCTGCTCCAGCCCCTCTGATAACTTTTGCGGCCCTCCTCTAGACTTGCTCCAACAGATCCATGTCTTCCCTGTCTGAGATCTCCAGAGCTAGATGAAATATTAATGTAATTTTTTACTTCAAAAATGTTTAGGATGTCCAACATTATGATATTGACTACATGGAACGTCACCTGGACTTTACCTATGATAAAGTGAATTTTGCTGGTCTGCCAGAGTTCATGAAGGAGCTGAAGAAGAACGGAAAGCACAATGTGGTGATTCTGGTAAATTAACGATATTGCTAATTATTTCTCAATTTATAAGAACTGTTCACAGTATAGTCTTCATAGCAGTACCTAGGTGCTAACACATATATGCTAATGTAGCAGGTTTCCATTTTCCCATATGTTGAGAAGAGCTGAAGAATAATTTCTCACAGATTTAATTTTTAAAAGTGTTGCCTTTATTTGATATCTCTGTACCGGTATCATCTCTATTCCAAAACATTAATTCTCTGCCACTTTTTCCCCCTCAGTTATAAGTAATTTTGCCTCTGAATTGACATGGGATTGCTTTCATGCAATTCTTTCCCTGAAATTAACAAATAAATTTAATACACATACAAAAATAGCTGAATAGTGGAAAAAGATCTATTCCTAATTACTCTGGAATATACTAACTATAATTCATGTTTCCTTGTACTTACTTTTTATCTAAGTTAATGGGAGAGATGATTTCTTGTATGCAAATTTGTGGAAAATGTATGTGGAACCTCTAATCAAAGTTGGCTTATAGCCAAATGAATTCATTTGGATACAAGTGAAAATTGGAGTTTTCCATCTTCCCCAGTAAATTTTTCCAGCAAAACTTTCTATTTCTCTCCAGCACTTCCCCGTACATGTCCTTAGGCCAAAATGACTCTGTCAACATTGCTAAGTTAACCAATGGTGGCGAGGAAACTGGAGAGCAATTTAATAGAAATTTAAGTAAAGATGAAAATAAATTAGGAAATTAAATAAAATACATTGATAAATTCACAAGCTCTTGCTCTCCAGGGTCCCCCAGCAGCTCAGCAGTAGGAGGGCTGCACTCCCCGGAGCAGGCTGCAGTTTGTTCTCCATAACCACTACGGGCAGGATAGGAGGAAAAGCATTTTAAATTGCAGCAGGACAAATTCAAGGCAAACATTAGGGTACAGCTGCCTGTCTGCAAGGTGAGCTGAGCAACAAAGAGCTGCTGGGGCCAGGGTCCCTCCCCAGGTGGGTGCTGTGAACAGGCCCAACAGATGGATCAGGCGTGGCTCAGGCTGAGCTGACCCACAGCCACAGGGTAAGGAGGAGACAATCCCACAGGGCCCCTCTCAGGACTTTTTGCTGTAACTGTAGATTTGTAACCTGTTTTCTACTTAAATGGTGAGTTCATATCTTTCATTTGGGTACCTCTCTCATAAGGGTACTACCTATTTGTCCTTACCTCCAGCTGCCAGTCTCTCACCCTTCTATTTTCTTTCTTGATACACTGATTCAAGTAAGTGTATTCTCCCTCAGCCTTTCTCTACTTGGCTAAACAAACACATTTACCTACAATTATATTGATGGCTCATGCTTTTAAGGAGACCAGGATTCAGTTAATCCAACTGAATCATGATGGACAGGTCACTAATATTTGGACCCTAAATCAAAGAAGTCCTTTTAATATAAGGGTCATGTTCCTCTTCTTGTCCTGAGGATCCTGTCAAAGGCTTGTGGAGAGAGAGACTGAACAGCAGAGTCCTGAATTGTGGTACAATTTCTCTTTCACTTGTGCTGGTGTATCTGGAGTCAAAACAAGCACGAGCTACTGCAGTTTTCTCATCTAAAAATCAAATTATCTTGTTAAATAGATAGATTAAGGCAGAAGTGCCTCCTTCCTGCCCTTATTTTTTCCTCGCCGTTTGTTGGGAAGTGTTACATTGTGCTCATGGGCACTCTGTTCCCTTCCCACTTCCCCGGGACCCTGTGGCTCTGATCAAGATAACCCCGGACCCTCCTTCCTGCCCTGACAGGGTTGGCAGAGAGCCAGAGCAGCTCTCCCTGCCCAAAGTCTAGATACACCCCTGACATTTCCTATTTATCCTCTTTTGCCCTGCTCTCCCCATGGACATGACAGAATAAAGAGCTGAACCAACATATCTCGGGGTAAGAGCCTCTTTTGGAAATCTTTGCCATCTCCTGATATTCCTCCCCTCAAAGCCTCGGATCTCTGGGCTAGCTGGATAATTTAGGGGGCTGGGGGGGGGGGAAACATCAGTGAAGTTTGAAATACCACTGAGGATGATGGATTAGTCAGCACCACAGATAGCTATATCAGTGTTTTCTTTTTAATTGGGAGTTTTCTGATCGTTTCTTTAAACATACCTTTTATTTTTTTTGCCTAGTCTTTGCTTTGGTCTTCTATTACTCCATTTACTTCTAGCACTCTCAAATAAAACCATGCAGCCTAAGTGATCAATTATATATTGATAATGGAAACAGTTAGAAATCAGACCTGACTAGCCTAAGTGATACATACAGTGAATGCTGCTTGCATAGAGCAGTATGCATACAGTGAATGCTGCTTGCTAGCCATTTGTCCCTAAAGATGCCTTCTCCTGAAGGTTCCATTCTGAGAAGCTCAGGGGTGCAGCAGTGAAATCAGTTTTCATCAGTGAAGGTTCAAGGCACAGCGTTTAAATAGTAGCAGATTACTAAGTCACTTTGATGGAGAGAAACTTTAAGACAAAAATAGACCCAAATTAAGTGGATACATCATTGTAAATAACTGAGCAGTAGTGAGCACATGTGCTGTCAGGGCTGATTTCTAACTGTCAGGCAGTTTAGGCTCTCTGTAACCTCAATACTGCTTTAAAAATGATCTAATCTCTTAGAACTGTAACATTAAATACCACATGCCTATTTATTGGTTTATCTCAAAATAGTTTGCAAAACATTAATATAGGAGCAAAATACCAGGAGTTTGGGGTAGCTCTTCCTATGCACTCTTGCCTTTCAGTAAATACATGGTAGTCATCTCTTTTTCATCACTGTTGGGAGGTCTCCAGTTGTTTTGCACTTGCTACTAGGTATGAAGCTACAGGCAAGCAGTTGTGCTTTAGTGGGTGAGCTACATTATCTTCTTCCTTAAGAGTTTAACTTCAACAACATTTTTAAAGCCCTTTCAGTTTTTCTGGTGGCACATTCTGCAGCAGTGCAGGGAGGTGTTGCTGTATAGATTCAGCTGTTAGTCAGATGCAAGGAGCATAGCAACTCTTAATTCATGCAGTGAGCTAATGGGAATCCAGATAGGAAGCCTTTCTTTTGTCCTTCAACTAACTTGTAACCAAGGCCTGTCTTCTGCTCTAGTTCTTTAGCCAAGCTTGTGAAAACAGAGTAAAAGCTGAGCCAGTCTGTCCTTCATTGTTTAAAAGTTAATGAGAAGTATAGTTTGCACTGGTACTGAAGTATTCTATTTTCACTTTATTACAGTTGCTGGTATCTCTGTCAAAATCTGTCTGTTAGCATTCTTTAGTGATGTAAAATATTCCCCTAAGTTGAGCTGGGAGCTGGAGCGGTGTGAACGGTTTCATTCCCAAGTGATAGTGGGTGCAATCGAGGCAAGTGTAATCCAGTTGGATACTGAAGAAACAATTTTGTATTTAGATTTCCTTTGGGTAGTGGCAGTAATGGGTGAGTTCCCCAGATAGAGCAGATTGTTGCCTCCCTCATGATGATTTCAGGAAATGGGCTCTGACTGCAGCCATTTAGTGTCATGGAAAACCTCCAGTAAATGGATTTAGGGAATGGGTTCCATCTATCTCATTTCAGACCACTTTGGTCACAAGCAAAGCACTGATCCTGACAGCCAGCAGTACTGACACTGGCAGCCTGCCTGAGGATGTGACCCTGAACTCAGTTGTGTCACCATCACTGTGCTTGCTGGTGCCACACCAGCAGGAGGTCTGCTCCCCATGCTGCACCCAGTGCTGGGAGCCCTCTGTGACTATGGTCACCTTGAGAGTAGCATGGCTCCATTACTGGAGCCTCTTAAGTGCAGCCCTTCTCTCTCCTAATCTCTTTCAGAGGCCACCGCTATTTAGGGGAAATTGTGACTTTGCATGTCAGCACCTGGTCATCATCATTGCACTAAATAATTGTGCATGTTTCAGCTGTGTCAGGACAAATATATTATTTAGAAACAAAGAAGTTCTAAAAACAATGAGTACCTTGAAAAATTATAAACATTTTTACTAAAGAGGATATTTAATGAAAGACCTTGTATACTGTCTATTAGGTTATACTAAAAACAGAAACAGCTAGGAATGACATAAGTGACAAAATGCTTGGAAGTCAAGAGCAACATGCTTATGATTCAAAATAATGCTTGATATCTTTAAGATTTTAAAGCAATTGTGTGAGCTGTAGAGCCAAAAATTTCCAGAGATGAGTTTTTAGGGATGTGCATCAAAATATAAATTTGGGGTGGGGCTGTGGGTGGCAGTGCATCAGTCTGGGTATGTGCTGGGTGCTCACAGGTCTTCAGGCAGTCAGCTGGAGTTGAGGATGCTTGGCACTTCTTCCCCAAAATGCTACAAAGATGAGTGAAGTTTTAACAGGCATGAAACTTCTTCCCCACAAACAATCCTTGCAGGCATGGAGAGGTTTTGTTTTCTTTAGGGCAATACTAAACCTGCATAATGTATTAGATTTATGCTCTGGAACAACCTTTCATCTGAAGGAAACCATAAGTTTGCATTTGGAGTAGCTAATTAAGCTGACTTCTTCTAGCCTTCATGTCCCTTGAGAGACATCTTTACCACAATTATAACATAGTTATTATAGATGGACAGTTTTCTCTTTTGCAAAGTTGGACTATTGAACAAGTTAAAAATGTAATGGACACTTATAGTACTTTTGGAGGTGACATTAGAGGTAGATAAAGTTAAACAAAATTTCAGACTTAAAGTAGGGATTTAGCTGTAGCTTTTGTTGTTGAGGCATGGAGAAATATACTTCCCTTACCAGGCTGTAGTTATCAGAGGGCTCACAAGTAAATGAGGCAATTAATTCAGGTATTTAAATGAGATGTAAAACAAACCTTTAAAGCCACTTCCCATTTGAGGTCTGATACTTTTTTCTCCTTAAGACATTTATTAGTTAGACTTCTATCACATTTTGATTAAAGTTCCTTTAAATTATTGCACAAGCTACAACTGAGTGGAAGCATTGTTTCAATTGTGTATTTCTCCATTGTGTTTCATAACTGAAAGATTTTGCCTAAAGCAGAACCTGAGGAAGTAAGATTTTCTAAGAAGAAAGTAAAGAATTCCCTTCTAACATGGCTGCAGTCTTTATCTGTTGTAAAAACCACAAAGCAGATAGTTGCTTCCAATTAGGGATGTATTGCAAAGTGCACTTAGTCCTTTTGGTTGCAGCTGACTGCTGGGCAGAGTTGCAGAGTACCTCTTCATTTACTGTCATCTCCAAGTATTCCTAACTTCATTACTTCCCAGCATGGTGTGTGAGCCTCTATTGTCCCCAGGAGCTGATCAGGCTCTCTTTGTGTCAGCTTGGTGGCTACTGATGGTCATCCTGAGGCAGAGGAGTTGTTGGTGTCATTACCACTGGCAGCAGTGAGAGGTGATGACCACCACAAGGAGTGGAAAGGGGCTGGAAGGACAAGCCGTGGGGTGTAAAATGCTGTGGTCTTGGTGCCTGGGGAGAGCAGAGGTGTAAGGCCCCACAGGGAGGTGTGAACTGGGTTTCTCTACATCAGACTGGCATAATGCACACTGGTTTGGAATGGAGGGCTAACAGGGCCCTTTTGAGGTTGGATGTGCCCAGCTCCAAGCCCCTTGAAAAGTTCTTGTTATTCCAGCACTGAGCTGTTGATGCTGAGGCAGCTGGAATAAGGATTGCCTTGGAGGAAACCCAGAGGTGCTCAAGTGTGGGAATGTCCAGCATAGCACCCAGCCAACAGCAGAGACCTTGGTTGGGGGAAGTGAAATCTAATGCCTCTCATAAAATAATTTGAACATAGAAAGTCTCATGAAAATAAACATGAGGGTATTTAGTAATTTCACATGGCTTTTGCCTTGCACAAGAAATACTCATGACATATCCTTAATGACTTTTTCTAAATTATTGTGTGCTCTCAACTCTTATTAAATTTTAATGCTGTTTTCTTCCAATATTTTTGCAATCAGCATTAAGAACATAATCCAGATTTTTCTAAAATATAAAATAGAAGAGTAATTGTTACCTCTGGGATTTCAATAAAGGAAGGATGATTGTTCTTTTCAGGACCCTTTTGTAACCAAGGATGAGGAGCCAGGCACTTACAGACCTTATGAACTCGGCCAGGAAATGGGAGTGTGGGTGAACAACTCTGATGGTGTGACTCCTGCTCTTGGGCAGGTGAGTTTTTTAATTTTGTGATGCATTTTGTCTAGTGCTGCCTCAAAAAAATAAAGCAGCAGTGTAATAGAAATGGGAAAATAACCAGGATTTACATATGTAACCCCTAGATCTGGCCTCCTGGATATTCCGTGTTTCCTGACTTCACCAACCCCAGGACAGTGGAATGGTGGACCACGTTGTGTCTGGAGTTTAAGGATGTTCTTGACTACGATGGCATCTGGATTGTATGTCTCATTATATCTGCCCTTCCTTCTTAAAAAAAAAAAAAAAGAAAATTAAGATTTTCACATGTCTTACTCTCTTTATTAAAGGATATGAATGAGCCGGCCAATTTCATGAGAGGCCAGCTACCTGGATGTGCTGATACTGAAATCAATAACCCTCCTTACACTCCTAGTAAGTATAAGAGAAAAACTTCTTTACCATTAATTATTTATTACTATTACACTATAATGTTTTTCTATTTTATATAACATATTATATTTTATAGTAATAGTAATATTATAATTTCACTGGGGTTTTTTTTTGTTTGTTTGTTTCTTTGGTTTTCTTGTTTGTTTTGTTTTAAACCTGGATAGGCTATATTTTAGGGGGGAGGGGGGAGGGAAAACTATTCCCTCATTTTCCATCTTTCCCTGCCTGTTCTGTATGTTCAGTTACATATTTGTTCAAGACTCCAGTGGCTCAGCTTTCATGGAGTATCAACAACAATCACTTTCCTCTGTCCAAGCTTCTGCTCGTAACAGGACTAGAAAAATGACCTTTCCTGCCATCCTCTTAGCAACTGGTCCACATCAGAAAAAGGGCAAGATACCTATATACTTTAATTCAGCTACAGACTTGTGAAGTAACCCCTGCCACTGCTAGTCTCAGAGATGGGCAGTCTCTGCACTATGACAAGGGAGATGGTGCCTTAGTTTAATGTATTTCCTTTCCCTTAGGAAAGAAATTATCACAGTGTCACTAGAAATGGGCTAAAAATAAGTTTTTAAATGCCTAAGCCTATGGGAAACTTACAGGAATGGGAAAATCTCTTCCAGTAGCTGAGTTAATGACAGGCTCATTCCTCCCCAGGAAGCCATGAATACCAATGATTATTGCCAGTGGTGTGGCAGTTAATGCAGCCAACATTTCCCCAGGAAAGCCCAGCTGCCTGAGCAATGTTAATATGCAGTAGGAAGCTGGTACATGAGAGTTGGAGTATTGGCAATGGAGTATTGGAAATGTCCCCTTTTCCCCTTCATGCTTTTGTACTCTCATGAGAATTCTAAATTTTCTTTATTAAATGGCAATTATTTTTCTTTTTTTAACTTTGAATATAAGAGAAACATAAGCATAAAAAAGCATGACAAACTATTAGAAAGAGATTGTAAATTTTTGAAAGCCGAAGCAGAGCTTTTAATGATGATTTTGGTGTTTGCTCTCTATGTGGGGTAACCACTGCATACTTACCCTGTGGGTCTTGACCAAAACCCAGGAACTGATGAGAATTTCCACCTTTGCATTAAATTACCTTCAATTTTGTCAGCCTTCAGAGCTTTATAAAAGATGTGAGACATTGGGTAAATTGGCCAAAAGAGCAGAGCTCCCTTTACATCACAAATAGAGGACTGAGAGTGAACCCAGGCAGGGGCTTCTGAGCCATTCAGCTGAGCTTTGTGAAGATTAGCACTGAGGTCTGAAGGGACTCAAGTCTAGAGGCCTACATGACATGTAAGGACACTGAGAGATACTGAAGACAGGCGTGTTTTGAGCCCAGTTTCTCTGACTTGACTCATGTGTATATGCCTCTGCTTCTGCTTGTGACCTACAGTGTTAGAATGATATAATGGGATTGGTAATGTGTATTGTATAATTGTATAATTTTATAGATGGGTTTGTTTTAGAAGGGACTTTCACAACCATGTTGTTCCATCCCCCCTAGCATGGGCAGGAACAGCAGACCAGGTTTCTTGAAACCCCATCCATCCTGGCCTTGAACAATTCCAGCATGAGGCACCCACAGCTTCTCTGGGCAGCCTGTTGCAGTGTTTCACCACCCTCACAGGAAAGACTTTCTTCCTTGTATCTAATATAAACCTACTCTCTTGGAACCATTTCTCCTATCACTCCATGCCCTTTTCAAAAGTCCCTCTCCAGATTTCTTGTAGGTCTCATTTAGGTACGAGAAGGCTGCTTGAAGGTCTTCCCAGAGACTTCCCTGGTATTGATCTTCCTTCTGCAGCCCGTAGCCCTAGGCGTTACATCTCACCATATAGGGAATCTATCTTGAACCAGTGTTTAAGGGCTTTCTTTTCTATTTTACTTTATAGAGTAGGTGCCTGTTCTTAGCTGTCCAAGCCCTTGACTTATGTAAGTATGAGAGGTGACCTAAGCTGTTTAGTGCAGTAAGACATTAGGACCTTCTCAGGGTTAGCAGAGTTTTGGGAGCTCACTACTGTCTTAAGTGCAAGTCCCAGTTTCAGAGTCTCAGGCTTTTTGTCAGTGTAGCCTTCAACCTCCTTACCTAAATTTTATAACCATCATTACACGTAACCATGGTTTGATCTTCTAGTTCAAGCCAGATGTCCTTCAAATCAATTTTCTATAAAACACTTTATACTGAAGATTAATATGCAATTGTAAAATAATCAGTATTACTGAGGCAGAATACAAAATACTCTGAATAAGAATGAATCAAGAACCTGTGATTCACGTGGTAGCATTTTCTTTCCTATCCAACCTTAAATTTATAGGGCTAATAATCAAGAACCACTGGGACATTAAGTGTGACTTTCTTCAGAAACTTAGTGTCTTCTTCAAAGACATATCGGTCAAAGTTACTTGGAAATTGCCTATAAATTAAGTTATTTCTGATGTAGATCACTGACACTGGAGTCTTTGTGTTCTAAAGATCCAAACACGAGGATTGTAGCTGTAGTGGCACAGCAAGGCTGAGAGGCTAATGGGGTTTCAGGTACAGAGAAATTGTGATAATGAACTGCAACCATACAGGAAGTGTGATTACGCAGGCAGATTGCTTGTTCATGGAGAAATACTTACAAAAGTGCGTGCACCTAATTAAGCATGGAAAATAAAATTTGAGAATTCACTTTCTTTTTTATTTTGAGAGAATTATATAATATTTGCAACACCATCTCTAAAAGTAATTATAACGTTGTCTCGGTTTGAAAGACAGGTGTCTGCTAAGGAAGGCAGGAGCCTCCCTTGGAATGGAAAATGTAAACCACTTCCCTCCAAATTATTATAATTTTGAAATAAAGGGATTTCAGGCAAAGATGTGAGAACAGGAATAGCAGTTCTTTGCTAGTATGCCCAGCAAGGCACACAAACAACAACACCAACTCCGGCACTGGCACCGAGCGGAGCCAGAGCCCAGCCCCGGCCTTTGGGCCGCGGCGCTTTCCCTGCGGTGCAGTTCCGGGCACGGCCAGCAGGGGCGCTGCTGACTCCCGGCGGGCGGGGCAGGTGCGGCGCTGCCCCCGCGGCTGCAGGGGGCGCTGCGGGCGGGTCGGGCAGCGCGGCAATGGCGGCTTTGTCCGGGACGGAGGGGATGGAGGAGAGGCTTCGCTTCACAAACCCTGGGACAGCCGATCCTTCACAAACCCTGGGGCAGCCGATCCGGTGCCCCAGCAGGGCAGGGAGAGGCGGGTTCAGGATCCCGGGCGCCAGAGCAGACAGGGGTAGGTCCCTGTTTTAGTGAGGTGGGTGTTCAGAAGGTCCCAGTTCAGTGGCTGCTCTCACAAGCAGAGGCTCACCCCGCAGCAGAAGCAGCAGCTCCGGGCTGGGCTCTGGCGGCAGCAGCGAATTCCCTTCCCCAAGCAGCAGCTCCGACCTCCGAAATGGAGAGAGAGAGCGTGAGCTGGCAGCTGCCCCAGCACCGTCCTTTACCTGCCCAGTCCCTGTGGTATCTCCTCGTTGGAGACAAACTCCCAGATAAGAGAAGTGCAGCCAGATGCCCTCCTCCTCTGAGCTTGGCCACTTCTTTTGTTTTATTAGGTGCCCAATCATTAGTGTTTCTTAGCAACTTAAGGGGAAAAACTTGCCTATGTAAAAAGGAACAAAAGGAAAGAAACCTAACCCCCAATAAATGTATAAACCTCTGAGCTGCCCGATTCCTGCTGAACTTCATGTGGCATTTTCATGGTGGTTACCTGAAGAGGAGAGAAATTTTTCTGCATGAAATGGGCTTTTCCAGCATCTCTTTGATAGGGGATTAAAGACCAGTCAGCATCTGTGCAATATTTTTGCTGTTAATTAGAATTTGTCATTGTGTAAAATAATATATTCTTAATTCAGCAAAGCAGATATTTTCTATTATTTACTGAATACATGACACCTGTACAGATATTTTGAATTATTGGACATAGAACTTGAAATAAATTATCAGTGTTTACTCAGTCCTCTCCCCTCTCCAAGGACATGTGCCTGTCTGCAAGTGTTTGTGACTATGTGCTAAACTCAAATAAGTGCAGATCCAGCACTTCAGCTTTTCCTCTTCCCACATATTTTGTTGTTTTCACCCTAAATGTGTAGAAATGTGAAGACACTTGAATTGTGATGTATATGATTTTACAGTGGTTTGTATCATTCTCAGGCATCACTGATCGTTCTCTGGCGGAAAAGACACTGTGTCCTGACTCCAAGACTTACCTTGGAGACCACTACAACACACACTCTCTCTTTGGCTGGTCCCAGACAGAACCAACTTTCAAGTAAGTTTCTAAATGCTTCTAATCAGATTCCAGGTGATTAAAATGCATTTTAAAGCCACTGATGTTACCTGGAAAATCTGTAATACTATTTAATAAGAAGCCAGACCCATGTCTTGATTTATTTGCCATTTAGTAGGACGTTTCAAGAAAAATGAACCTTAGAACAAGGAACAGAATCCTTTCTAATTTTACCTTTCTCGGCTAAATCAAGATGTATGTGTAGGGCCTAACTTTACAGCTGCTGCTTTTGTATATCTAAAGCAAGAGACTCTTGTGCTCTGTTAGAGCTTCTCATGAGCATTTGCAGCAGAAGGAGCCTTGTGTGTGTCAGGGGTGTTTATCTGTCCCTTCACTACTGTGGCAGAGGAGTTTTTGTCACTGTCAGTGGAGAGCCCAGACTGTCCCCTGGCTGCTTCTGGAGCTGCCTCTGGTTCCTGGCAGGCAGTGTTTTGTAAATTGGCTTGGGGCTCAGTTGGTTCAGGAGGTCAGAGCTGCATTGCAGCAGAGTTGCTGTCAGCTACTGTAAAACTCATTTTGCAGCTGGGAAGCACTCACAACCAGTTTACACAGGCAGCCTGTTGCTGTGGAAAGCTAGCTGTTGTATTAAATGAGATGGGCAGATCATGCCTTTTCTGGCAGGGATTGAGCTAAAACACTAGGAAATTTCATACCATAATGGAAGAGCCAAAGCAGAGGTCCATGTGTGGCCTGTTTCAGCATTTAGCACTCATTTTCAGAAGCTGGATTCTAATAGCATCCAGGGGACATGGTTAAGTGAACCTAATTCTGGTGTTGATGCATTTGTATTTTATATGCTAGGTCCAGGGCATGGGAAGCCCTGGGAAAAACCAGAAGTAGTTTGCCAGCTCTTATGGGCCTGGCTAAAGCACAGTTCTGCTTTTGAAAGAAAGAACAGGAAACCCTTGAACCCTGAACTTCTTACTATGGTTTTTGGGTTTCTATTCCCCAGTCTTCAAAGAGATCCTCCCAACAAACTTACTGTGCTCAGCCAAATGTGGAGAGGACCACTAAAAGTATATGCAGAGGTTGATTTTGCTGCAAATCTGGGAAACTTTGGTGACATATTTTTTGTACATAGTCATTTTGGTTTGTCAAATAGATTTCTTTTCAAGGCTGGTTGTATATCCTTTCTGCAGTCACTCTTCACAAAGAATATATTAAATGATATTACTGACAGGAATATTTAGCAACCAGCATCAATTGCAGGATATTGGATGAAAATTAATGACAATTTCATAATCATATAAAAAAAACCAATCCTAAGAATTATTCTAAGGCAGGCAGAGAATAGGAAATGTGTCATCTGCCCTATGTCAAATGGTTTGAATTTGAATACATAAACTAGCAGCAATCAGTTTGGGCATCGCTTAATGCCAAGAGTTACTTGCACATGATATTCTGTAAATAATTTAAATGAACAAATGCATTTGACAACATTAGGACCTGTTCCCTAATGGTTCATGAAAGACTGAAATTATTAGATAAATTACTTGTTACAAATTGTTTTTGCAGCTCTGGATCATAGTTAAGTTTACCTGATACTGCCCTCATTAGCACCTGTATTTGCAAATGGAGCCAGAGACAGCCAGAGGAGAGCACTCCTGCTCGAGACATCCATGAAAAGCTCCAAAATAACATTTCTACAAAGGGCATGGAGCCTTGTGCAGTTATTGGCCCAGCAGTGCACCTGCAAACCAGAACCAGCAGGTCCCTCACAGTTCAAGAACTGCACCTCTTGCTGCATATGGCCCCTAAGTTAATACATTCAGTCTTCCATGAAAGCTGTTGGGTTTTTTGCTTCAGAAGCAAGTGTGGAAGCACTTTAAAATCTCTGTGCCATTACAGACCCAAGAGCAAACAGTGGGTCATTATAAATACAGGTGAAAGAATTCTTGATGAAGTCTCATTAAGAAAAGGGAGAAAGAAGTACATAGTGAACAACATGATTAATATTTCATGCTAGAATTTCCCAGAGAATCTAAATTGTGTTGCACAAATCATATTAAAGAAGAGTTTAATTTGATTTCCTGTAATATAAAATACTGCGATTTACAGTTATGTACAAAGAATATCCTATTCTGAGGATTTTGTGACGGATTTGTAAGTAAAGCACATTCCCTTGATTTTCTGGTGATACAGCAAAATTATTTTCAAAAAGCAAATACAAATTCATTGTGCCCCTAATTCTGCAATGAAACCTCATATATCAAAAAAGATAGAAAACCATAAAAAATACTACAAGGATGGGGTGGCATTTTGAGTGCTTACAGGTTTGTTTTGTATATTATTTATTTTTTATAAGATGTTTAGATATACTTTTAGTATTTTTGTGTGGTTTGGTTTTTGGTTTTGATTTTTAATCCTGGTATTGGGACTTTATTTACCAATACAAATCTCTAAATAAATCCTGTGTTGAAAAAAAAAACCACCTTATTATATTCTTTTTAGGAACTCATTGGACACTTAGTTAAATATACTAGTATAGAAAGGAAATTATGATTTGAATTTTCAGTTCTAGACACTGCTGAGAATAAATTAAACACAAATTATTCTTTAGGAAGATTAAAAATACCTGAGACAATTTGTTTAGTGAATCAGATAGATTTTTTGGTTTTTTATTTTGTTTTGGCCACTGTGGAAATCTTCCTTTTATTTGCAGTTTTGCGGTGACATTTTCATGTGAGTAGGGATCACAATAACAATTGTTTAATGAATAATACCCTTTCAGATAAAATTGTGCCTGAATGCTCAGGATGATTTTAAGCTGTTTTGGTTACCTTTCTTGTTTTTGATGATCTTGTTGCATTTCTTTGCAGTGTTGTCCAGCAGGCTACTGGCAAGCGGGCATTTGTCTTGGCTCGGTCCACGTTTGTTGGCAGTGGGAAGCACGGTGGTCACTGGCTTGGTGACAACTTCTCCCTGTGGAAGGACCTGCACCACTCAATCATTGGAATCCTGGAATTCAACCTCTTTGGCATTCCCTATGTAAGTCTGGTGTCCTCTAGGCAGGTGCTGGCTTATACACAATATCACTTCAAATTAACTCAAATGTTTTCTGAAACAAGTGGCTTGAGATGGCCAGCAGTAACAGCCTCCACAGCCTAAGGAACTGCAGATTAAAAGGCTAAATGTCAGTCTTGGCTGCTGAAGGGAAACAAAAACAGCACTGCAAGATTTGGACTGACTGAATGTATGTCATCCGAAACTGATCTCTTTGTATTATGTACTCTATGATTAGGGCTCCTTCATATATTTCTGGGTTTGCAAGTTGGGATGGAGAATTTGTAGAATTATTGAAATACAGTCAGATCTTCCACCGTGAACTTAGTGCTCTAGGAGACAGTACAACCTCAGTCACAGAAAAATTTGTATAATTATGGAACATTGTTATAAAGTAATTAGAAACAGGGATTTCTTTCCAAAAAATATTTTCATTTCTGCAGATTTCTGTAGTCTCTCATTTTTGGGCCTCAGTCACAATCACAAACTTAATTTTATTTTTTCTTAGGTTGGTGCTGATATCTGTGGGTTTAACTACAACACTACCTACGAACTCTGCCTGCGTTGGATGCAGCTTGGCTCTTTCTATCCATTTTCCAGAAATCACAATTCAATTGAAAACATAGTAAGTAAACAAAGTTACATAAAGCTATAGCCTAGGATTACAGTTTTGTGGACAGTGATTTGTATTGCTTTCTCCAAAATCAACCTGCCATTCTTGGGTAAACTGGAGCAGTAGGTGAAAATGAGTGCTGCACTGAGAGCAGGAATTACACGTTGAAATGTACATTTTTCCTATCCGTAATGTAAACATAACATAGAAATGCTGGTCTTCTCACACTGTTGGTAAAATTCATCTATTTCATCTTTTACCTACTGAAGTCCAGGTTTTATTAAGAGCCAGTGAGTGTCAGAGTATCTTCTTACTCCCTTGATTACTACAACTTTTGTTTCAATGCTTCTGTAATTATAGTAAGTATTGCAGGGAGGGGAGAGAGATCATTATACACCATCCTTGCTGTTTAAAAGCAAGTTTCAAACATGTGAGAATTCCAAGGAGAGGCACTAATAGTGACATCATTATCAGCCAAGAGGCAACCAAGACCAGAAAAGGCTAATGAGCCTATAGATGAATGAAAAAGTGCAGCCTCAGTCCAGATCCATGCTCTGCTTTCAACACCAGAAAAGTCTTTTAAAGACTTGTTGCAAACAGAAAGAAGTATCAGGTCATTTCTAGCTATGAAGTTTGAAGGTCTTGCAGCCTTTGTAATTATTCTGTGTTTATCTGCAACTGTGATGAAATGATTCTGCTTGTTCAAGAAATGTTTGGGTTTTTTTTTTTCCTTCTGTAAACTGATCTGTGCAATGCTGGAGCTCAGGTTATTTGCTGACCTTCAGCTTCTTTGAAGTTGCATCATCAAAATGCTGCAACATTTACATTTCCAGGGAGACCTTTTTCTCTGCATGAAAGTATTATGGATGTTCAGCAACTGGACATATGCAGGAATAATAAACCATAGTACTATCATTAAGAGGGTCAGGAATTAGCCTGTAGATCCCTGAGATATTTCTTTGTAGGAGAAGAAATGTCTGTGAGGTATTAGCTGTGGATGTTGAGAAACATTTTCCATTTGCCTCCCCTCTAAAGTTAGAGGTGTACATATATATATATTCATATGGTTGTTTGGCCCTTTGAGCATGCAAACAGTGTCTGACCTGGGTGAGTGGATATCAATCTCATATGTACGATTTAATAAACAAGAAGAGAGCAATAGGCCTATATGATGGGTGCTGCAGCTGAGAGATATATTTGGTTTTATTGGATTACTTAAATCCATTTAAAATATGTGTTCATGGAAAGAAATGAACAGACATTTTGAGTGACTCAGCATCACCTAAGAAATCTGAGTGTTTTTTTGTGAAATTAAGCAGTGTTTTTACCAGTGTCAGAACACTAGTAACAACATACTGCAATTTTTGAAACAATAGATGGATGCTCTGGAGCTCAGAGCCAGCAGGGAGTATTCTTGGTGAGTAATTTTGATATAAATATAATAATGGTGAAATTTTACTTAAATATTGAATTTAATTAACATTAGGTGAGTGTTAGGATCTTAAATACCCACTTTGCCTAATTCATTGAGTATTTCAAACAGTTCAATTAATATTTTTCTTGTCTGAAAAGCCCTAGATAATATAAAAAGCTTTTGTTACTTTTGTTGCTTTTGCATTTCATTATCCTTGGAATTCATCATATAGTCTTCAGCTTTAATGAGAAAATTGAGTACTCTGGAAAGATTTCCTGAAGGAGAAAGGGAGCCATGTGATTAGTAAGCTGGCTGTTTAGCACTGGAGAGGTTGACAGGAGGAATTAAAGGAGATGTAACTCTTTTCCATATCGGCACTGCCCTTAGTTGCATGCTCTGCCTGCCATCCCAGGGGAGGGTCAAGGTTGTGTTGGAGTGGGACCAACCCAGCCAATGAGTACAGACAGGCTGCCCCAACCTGCCCCAACCTGTCCCCTTGATGGTGGCACCCAGTGCATGTCGTGTCTCACAGGAGAGCATTGCTGGCAGTGAGGAGCTGAGGGGCACTGCTGATGTGTGGGTGTACTGTCAGTCATCAGGGCATCCTAAAATGGAGCACACAGGAGGAGAAATCAAGTGTTCTTGAATGGATGAAATGTTCTCTGTACCACACACAGTGACTTTGGTCACCCCTGTTGGCTTCAGCAGGGTTATGAGTTTACTCTTTTACCTAGACTTGCCTCTATATTTGTGGCCAATGTAATTATGCTTTTGACTTTGATCTGCAGATTATCAGTCTTCCCTTTTTCCTGTATTTCATCTCCTTTGTCTGAGAGGCTTGCATTCTCTAGGATAAATTAATTTCTATATGCAGGGTATCTGTTCCTGAGCACAGGCTTGGAGCCCCAGCTTCCGTCTCCTCACAAGGTTAGGGTGGCTGCAGAGGACTCACATACATTGGGGTGGGACCTGATCTTTTTGAACTCACTGGAGTTTTTCAAGTTAAGAATTTTATACAAATGTTAGTTTGGGAATAATGGATGATGCTCTTAACGTACCTTGCAGTTTGCAAATGAGTGCTTTCTCTTATTTAAACACTCA